GAGGGGCAGGAAGAGAGGGAAGGAATCAGGAGGGGGATGAGGAGGAGGAAGACGAGGAAGATGAGAAAGATAATAAGGGATGGCAGGAAATGCGGGGAGGGTGAGGAGGCGGAGGGGGAGGAACAGTGTAAACCCAACACCCATCAATTGCAGTAAAGCATCCAAGTCCCTTGTGCATTGGCCCTACACGGATTCGCGTTTCACAGTGAAGTGACCCGTTGGACAACAACTGTTCGAAAATCTAGCAGTGTGCCAGAACGCCATTCTTGGGACATCAATGCTGCGAGTCACCGTCATTGTTGCGTCTTGACGATCCTGAATCGCGCTAGGGTATCATTCCTGGGACTCCAACGCCGCGAATCAACGTGACTGTCTCGGCCTGAGATTCCGACATCGTGCCGAGAGCAATTTCTGGGGCGTTTGCCGCGCGATTCCTTGAACCTGCTAGAAACTCTTTAAAACGAATGTGCGCGGCGCTAAGGCGATAGCCTCATTTTGAAAAAGAACTGCTTGTCATCCGTGAAGCTTCCAGCAACCTTATCCAAACGAATGTGCGCATCGCCAAGACGAGAGCCGCATTTTGAAAACAGGCCGCCCTCCATCCGTGAAGCCCTTGTACACTTTTAAGACGAATGTGCGCGGCGCGAAGGCGAGAGCCACATTTGGAGAACGGCCGCCCTTCATCCATGAAGCTCTTGCAAATTCCTAGGTGTGCCCAGGCTTCGCAGTGCCCGCTCTATGCAATTCGTATAGCGCTACACATGTACTCCATCCCGCGGAGGATCTTCCTAGACGGAGCCGTGGGCCCACGGATCTATCCTTCCAAGGGAATCGTCGCCGGTTCCAGAACGGCTACGACCGAAGCCAAGATGTATGTTATGCCCATGCTAGAGGGCGTCTCCGCCACAACGGAGGAGCAAGCATCGGCATCCATACGCATAGATGATATCACTTCTAGTTATTTGGCTTTTGCTCTCGAAGACTGTGTTCAGTATCTTTGGCGTTTTGGGATGAAGCTCAAGTAGGGTCTGGCTGCTCTTCGCTCGCCTTCCTCTGGCTATCGGCAAGCTTGCAGTTATCTCTAGCTCAGGCCCCCTGCTCAAGAGGGCCATGGAAGTCTTGGGAATGGTTGCTGGGGCGGCAGCGCCGTCAGCCCCTCACCTAGGCATTGACTTCGCAGCAGGTAAGCACAAGCGGCGCCCTGGTGCCAATTCGACACGGAGAGCAAGATGGGCCAAGACGCATTCGCGTTTCTGTCGTCTTCGGGGTGTTAAAAGTAAGAAGCCGACGGACAGGGCCCGCTGCTTTGTCTCTTGAGTTCGGTCCGTTCTATCGCACGGCGGGAATGTTCATGGTTGCGCGCCCGCTGAGATAGATAGGCTACACTCTACGGCTAGGATTGTTTCAGGGCACCAGCTTAGAGGAGCACGGACCGACATCTGGTGGCAAGTACACGAGGTTCCAGATCCGCTTAGCCTAGCATCCAGCACTTTGGAAAGATATTGTATGGGGTGGTGGAGGGCTACGGCAGGGAGAGCAGAGTTCGGCATGCATGCAGATGGGCTCGATGCTAAAGAACTCAGGACTCTCTTTGTGGCCGTGCAAACTAAGTTCCAGGACCCAGGCAACGCCTCTTGGCTAGGACGTCCTGCAGGGCCCATCTCAGGCATGCTGCTTTGGCTTCATAAAGCGGGCTGGCAGTTCGACAACCCGACTACCCTCCAGCCTAGAGTTGGAGGCAGCATCAATATTCTGGAGACTCCGCCAGTCTCGATTGCCAATCATTGTACGGGGGACCTCAAAGAGCAACAGTCCCGCCAGGCTGAAGGCATCGAACTGGGTGCTCCTCCCCCGCCCCCTCCTCCGCCAGTCGGACAGGAAAGGGTGTGTGGACTGGGTCCAGGTCCGTAGGGGGCTTTGGCATGCTCGAAAGCGCCTCGCCCCCGACGAGTACACCAGCCTTAGGCGCTACATGTGCGGCTCCCTTATCACAGGTAGGGTTCTGTCAGGCTGGGGTTATGATCTTCAGCCATCTTGTCCTTATTGTCTGGAGGTAGATACTCACTACCACAGGCTATGGACATGCCCTCTTGGAAAGGAGTTCAGGGGAGAAGTCGCGGGCTTGGACGCCACCGAGGGGGCTTCGGAAGATTCGGCTTTCTATTCGCACCTCTGGCCTCCCAGAACTCAGCTCGAACCACTTCTGGAAGAATGGGGTGCTCGTTATGTAGATGCCAGCGGGCCTTGTGACCCTTTCGAGTTCGAACCCAACGGCGAAATCTTCACAGATGGTTCGTGCTTCGATCCCGAAATTCGCCACCTTGTCCGATCAGGATCCTCCGATGTAGACCTGAACGAGGACAACTCGCTCAAGGAGCAGACCGCGGTCGACGGGAAGCATGGGGGGCCACTTATGGCAGTGCTTCACTCCGAAGCAGCTTCCACGAACACATTCGTTGTAGATTGCGCGGCCCTCATCCGCAAATCTATCAAATCTTGTATTGACGGTAGATCTCCGTTCTCTAGGGCCTGGGGGCACATCAGCCGCGCGCCCCCCGCGGGCGAATGGCTGCGCCTAGTCAAGACCAAGGGCCACAGGAAGGAGTCGGAGGCAGTCAATGAGCAAGATCGGAGGTATATCCTAGGCAACATCGCAGCATATCACTATGCATGGCAGGGTTCGCGTAGCCATCGCCCAGCACCCGCCGTGGTTGATGAGCATGTTGCCGCCGGTGATCTCTACTTGGCTGTCTTGGTCGGGGCCGGGAAGATCTTGGGGTCTTGGCCGAAGTCCGAGGAGCTTTGGGGTGAGCTGCAGAGGCTGCCCAAGGAACCTAGACCCTCACCGCCAAGACCCTTTTCCGAATCACATCAACCAGTTTGTGATGGGCAGAGATATCTGTGCCTTAGTTGCTTAAGGATTGTTTCCCCCAGGTCGAAGTTTGACTGCCGGGCCATGCCGCCAGCTATGGGGGGGTTAGCAGCGTGAGAGGCTCCACCACTCGCTGTACGCAGGCTGGCTCGATTCAGGGCTCCCTGTCATTTTCTGCAACCATTGTGGAGGCTTCAGTACGCATCGTGGTTCGAAGAAGCTTGCGGACCCCATGGGGTTGCACAGGGAAAATATGTAGTGAGCTTAGGAAGCTTAGGAAAGGCATGCTCCCAGGCTCAAGTGCCAAGATCAGTGGGATCCTGCCTTTTTAATATGCCTGGGTAGTATAGCAGTGGGATGGTTGGTTAGGGCAGTGCAGAGGGACAGTTGGTGGGCGGGGCTTTCTTTTCTCGCCATCCTAAGGGGGGCCTCCAGGCGGAAGGGCCCCTGCACCAGATTGCAGGGGTCACGGCGCAGGGATGCCGTGGCATCGGATGCTCCTTCGGCCTTTTTGCTTCCCCATAGTTTGCTCCTCTCTGCCGCTTTCCACGCCCGCTTCTGAGCGCGCCCTGCGAGCTCTCACGGTCTCTTCCTCAGCCTCGGGCCCAGCCCCTCGTCAGCTCGCGCGCGCGCGCCGCGCCTGCCCGCTATGGTGAAGAGCAGGCAGAGCCCGTATCAGGCGCGCTCGTCTCAGGGCTGCCGCGGCTGGATCCACCTCTCGAGGTTCAAGGGGGAGGATGGGGACGTGCTGACGTGCAAGCTCTGCGGGACCCCCTTCGACCCGCCGCAGGAGGCACTGGGGGCCATCAGGGAGGCCCGCGCCGCCCGTGCTGCCGCCGTCCGTCAGCCTGTCCCGCCTGGTCCAGCCCTTCCTGGCCCAGTCGCCCCAGGACTTGTGAGGCCCTCGGCCGCTCCCAAGCCCTCAGCCAAGCGCGAGCTTCAGCTGTCGGTCAAAGGGTCGGCACCGCCTCCTCCTCCGAACCCCGAGCCCTCGGGCCCTCCCATCCCTCTTCCTCCCGCCCTGCCCCGCGGGCAGGAGCTGTCCATCCAGGGGTTGGGGCCCCGCGGGCTGGGCGCGCCTCCCAAGGCCTGCCCCGTTGGCAAGGCGCCGTGGCCGGGCGCGGGGACGGCGAAGTCGCCCGCGTGGAGGCCGCCGCAGCCCAAGGCGCCGCCGCCCGCCAGGCTGCTCGCAGCCCAGGGGAAGGGCCGCGGGAAGGGCCGCGCCAGGGCACCGCGCCCGCGGCGCACCCAGGGCACGGCGGCGCCGCGGCTGCGCATTCGGGTGGCCCTTTTGAAGGCGGCGAATCGCACCCTGAAGGGGCGGGGGCGCCACTTCAGGGAGCGCGCCGCCTAGGATGTCCGTTGGGCCCACGGCCATGTTCAGAGGAGGAAGGAGAGGCGGGCCAAGGGGGTCCCCTCCTCTTCCGATTCTGATATGGAGTAGGCAGCTGCAGGGGGGAGCTGTTAGGTGGGTGGGTGGGTGGGTGGGGTGGGGGGGATCAGATTGCGGCATCGGATAACAGCAGCTCCAACGGCTTCCTCTCCCTGTCTTCACCTCCCACCCTGCTCCTGGGACCAGCCTGGGCGGGGTTTGGGTTTGGGGCTTCGGCGGCGCTTACTCTTCTCCTTCCCTCTTTCCTCCTTCCGTCTCGGCCTTCCTTCTTCTCCGTAGGCGCCGCCTTAGCCTCACGTCTTAACTGTTTGTCGCCCTCTGCTCCTAGAGTGTAGTTGTGAACCAGCAGTGCATCAGTGCATCAGAGGAGAAGGAGGAGGAGAAGTTGGAGGAGGAAGGGGGGGAGTGGGCACGGCGGGCGGGGGGGGGATGGGGAGGAACGAGAGGAGACAGGAGCTGCAGGAGGTGGAGGAGAACCACGAGGAGGAGGCGGCGGAGGAGGAGCAGGAAGTGGATGGAAGGGACGAGGATACAGGTGAGAGGTGGAGAGGAGGAGGAGGAGGAGGAGGAGGAGGAGGAGGAGGAGGAAAAGGCGCCGGAAAAGGAGGAGGAGGAGGAGGAGGGAGGAGGAGGGGGAGGAGGGGGACCACCCCTTTTCCCCTCACGGAGGAGGAGTTCCCCCCCTCGCATGGGACGCGAGGGCGGGGGAAGGACTAGGATGCGATGCCGCTGCAGGCGAGTCGAAGAAGGGCGACCTCGAGGCCTCCATTGGCAAGCTGTCCGGCGCCTAGCAGAGGAGGAGGAGGAGGAGGAGGAGGAGGAGGAGGACTGAAAAGGAGGACCGGGAGGAGGAGGGGAACTGAGGAGGAGGAGGAGGACGGGGAGCAGAGGGAGGAGGAGGAGGAGGAGGAGGAGGAAGGGGAGGCGCAGGAGGAGGAAGGACTGAGGAAGAGGAGGAGGACTGAGCAGGAGGAGGAGGATTGAGGAGGAGGAAGAGGAGGAAGAGGAGGAGGAGGAGGAGGAGGAGGAGGAAGAAAAGGAGGAGGAGGAGGAGGAGGAGGGGAGGAGAGAGGAGGCGAGGACGAGGAGAGGAGGAAGAGGAGAAGTGCAGATCCGCAAGTGTAGAAGGAGGAGGGTGAGCAAGAGGAACAAGAGGAGGAAGAGGAGAAGTGGAACCATATTAAACGCAATATTGATCAGCAACGGTGCAATCCACCCTCCCGTCTCAAATGCCCTCTTTGACAGGCCAGCCCTCGATAGGACTTTTGGCCAACCGTTCATTTGAGAGCCCCTTGTTTGAATAGAACTGCCTTGAATCATTCTAGCGCTTCATCAGGAATGCGAGAAGGTATGACCCCACAGTTCTGCAACATGCAACATTATCGTCTTGTAAAAGGCCCCCCGTCACCCACCCGTGTATCTTATGGGCCCCTATCACACGTGCGGTCATGTGTTCGATGGAACCTCAAGGAATATGACAATGTTGATCAGGAAGCGCTTTCCACCATCGCATCTGCTACACTATGTTTAACATCAGTTTTATCTTGTGATTATGTATGTATGTGTATGTATGTATGCATGCATGCATGCAGGCATGGATGGATGTATGTATGTATGTATGTATGTATGTATGTATGTATGTATGTATATATGAGAGGAGGCGGCCGACTCCCCGGCCCCGACTCCCCCACCCTGGGTACCCTTTTTCGCCCCTGGGGACTGGGGCCTCTTCTGTCGCCTTGGGAGATTGTTTCGGCTTCGGGAGTCGTCCAAGACACAATCCCAGCATACGAATGGCCTCAAATTGTTTGTGGACGACCCCAGACTGATTCCAGATGTTCCCAAGAAAGTGGCGTCTGGGGTCGCTCGTTGGAGCTCCCCATGGGGCCACGGAGCGCGTGAGGTGTGCGCCAGCGTGGACGGGGACCCCTCATGCAAGCGTGGCCACCTGCGGCGCTCGATGGAGTTCCCTATCGGCCAACGAAGCGTGTAAGGGTTGCGCCGGAACTGTAGCAGGACCCGACACCACAGGATGGTTGGGAGAAGTGGGCAGAGGTAGGGATGCGAGGAGTGTAAATGGGGATGAAGGGGTAGTGGGACGCGGCGCGCTGCGGACTCAAAGCGAGGCCCCAACTCATGTATACGCCGCGTGAGGTTCGCCGAATGGTGCCAAGGGGGGATCGGTCAGCGCCAGGGCCATGCCCTTCCTGAGGAGGGAGGAGGGAGGATAAGCACGGCGTGCAGCTAAGTCATGAGCTGCCGATGTCAAAAGGGGGGCACGTGGAAGGCAGGAAGCCCTGCTCCGCCAGTGCAGTCTTGGGAAGAGTCTCTGAGTGAGCACCCGCTCGAGATCAGTCCCCGTCGAATGGCTCCAGGAAGAAGCGTAGGCTTCACCCCGTGAGGCCCGTCCAAGCAGTCCCCGACCACCACGTGCTAGTTCGCCCTAGGCTTGCGTAGACCCTTACCATCATTGGGGCCCCTCAAGCACCCGACGGTGCCATCACAGTCGACACAGGGATCTGACGGTCCACTCGAAAGAGCTTGCCGAGACAGCGTACGGAACGCGTAGTCCTCGCCGCTTCGAGCAATCAGCCCAGGAGCTTCACTCAGAGGCACAACTCCAGGTATCGCTGAACTCATCTCGCCACCTGTATGGCCGACCACCACCACCGACCAGCTGGCCGCACGAAGGCTGTTTCAAAGTGAGCCTCGAAACCTGCTTCATCCGTGAAGATTGCACTGTGATTGTTTTTTATTATTTGTTTTGCCGATCGGCGCGGGCCCTTGACCCCCCCCTCTCCCCCATGGAGTGGATCTTGGCGCCTGCTTCGAGCGGGTGGAGTCTCCCCCAGAGACCGCACTCTTGCAGACAGTCGCGCTAAAGCAGAGGTCTGGAGCCAGCCCCCCCCTTTCCGCCCAGTGTAGAAACGCCGAGTAAAAAAACGCTCACACTGCCAGGAGGGATGATGGGAGTCTGAGTGATCTGGGTCGTGCGGGCGGCGGCGAAGCCGGAGCCGGGGGCCGGTGCAGACACGACGCGAGCGCAGTTCCCATGCGTCCGCCGCCCCCCCCAGCAGGTTTGTCTCGGGCGCCGCCCTGCCCACTGCTGGATCTAGCCGCTCCCGCAGCCAGACCTCGAAGCGGGGCATTGTTCCTAGGCTCGATGCGCCCCCCCCCCCCCGTTTTGGCCGCGAGCCTTCTTTGGGCTCCCTCTCCCCCTCTTGCCCTAAAGAAGGGGCGCTCTCCCAAGAGCGGCTCGCTGCGGGGGGTCCCCTGCCCCATCCTCGTCGGGAACTCCCTGTGGAGAGGAGGGTCCTTCGGCGGCTTTCGCGGGCACTGCAGCTGTCGGGAAGCTCGGGGCCGTGGCGGGACACCCTGGGTATACCGCGGCCAGAAGGCGTTGGCCACCAAAGCGGAGAGACGAGCCGCGTGGTGGCTCGTCCAGCCTCCGAGGTCTTGCGAGCTGAAACCTGAGGGGGAGGAGGGGCAGGACGAGGAGCAGGGGGGGAGGTGGAAGAGCACGGGGAGGATTCTTGTGCTTGCCTTCGCTTCGGGGTGAATCTGAACCGTGCCAGCCTCGTTGGCCAGCAGCTGGCCGCATGGATCCGCCAGGTGCGCTGCCGATGCCGACGCGGCTCCATCGCGCCCAGTCTCCGATGACGGTGGCCCGCGCCACAGGCACTGGGTGCCGGCCGCTGCTCTGAGCTCGGAGCGAGCGAGGGAGACCGGGAGGGGCAGAGCCTACAGCTGCTCTGTCCTGCCCGTGCGGGAGGGGCCGCAATCCGCAAACATCGGAGCTGACCTGAGGATGTTCCGCCTCTCCGAAGCCATAACTCCACCCACCCCCCCGAAAGTGGCAGCTACTCCTGCCTGGCACCGTGCACGCTGGTGATGCATGCGAGGGAGGCAGCAGGCGGAGGAGGAGGAGGAGGAGGAGGAGGAGGAGAGAGAGGGAGGGCTACAGTCGAGGCTGAGTAGTAGGTCGACCCTGCCACACACAGGGTACCCTTGCGCCCTGCGTCTTACGACCCATGATCTTTTTTTTTGTATCTCTCTCTCTCTCTCTGCATTTCTATGGCGACGTGGTCCTTGAAAGGGTCTTCGCTTCCGTTTGGGCCACAGGGGGGTTGTCCGCACAACGGTTTTGCCCCCTAGTTGTTCCTCCCCCCTCCCCTCCTCCTCCTCCTCCTCCTCCTCCTCCTCCTCCTCCTCCTCCTCCTCCTCCTCCTCCTCCTCCTCCTCCTCCTCCCCCTCCTCCTCCTTCGTGCGGGATAATTCTCACGATTTCAGTAGTAGTGCGCGATTCGAGTCGCACTGCGAGTTTGTGGGCTCGACGCCAGAGGCTTGCTGGAGCAAGCACCGAGAGGGCTCTGTGCCCTCTCCTCGTGGCCCCTCCGATCAACCCCGACCGCACCCCTCTGCCAGGGTTTGTCAGAAGACACTGCCTTGGCCGGCTCGCGCCCGTCCCCCAAAACCTTTCAAGCAGTGGCGAAGCGTCTTGGCTGGCCTATAGCCCTACCAGACAATGTTCTAAGAACCTTTTGTGGTTTCCACGAAATGGTCTTAGAACATGTCTGGTTGAGATTGTCTTTGTTTAGCACATTGGCATCGGGCTTATGTTCTAAGAACATTGTCTTTGTTCTTAGAACTCATGTTGGGGTTCTAAGAACATGTCGTGGTATGACTATAGGAATGCCGGGACGGTCGGTCCTCGCTCAAACCCTGGGCCTCGCGGCAATCTTCACGCCTTCACGGCTTCGGCGCATGAGGTCGATGCCGAGCGTGCCCCTTAGGGCTCTGGACGAGTCGAGCGTGTCGCCTCGTCGAACTGCTCCTCTTCGCAAGCCGCGTGCGACTCCACGGTCTGCTGTGCCGTCTGCGTCGTGAGCTCCTTCTTCGCAGCCGAGGGCTGCTCGACGGCCTCATCCACAGCCTTCTTTGCTCGATGGCCGCCTCCGGCCTCCTCCTCGGCGAGCACCTGGGGCTCGGCGTCCTCATCCGCAACCTTTTGGTTGGTGGACTTCTCGGCTTTCACGTCCGCATTCTGGAGGCCGGGGCCTCGCTCTGGACATTGTGCGCGACGAGCATTGCACCCGCGGGCGTGCCGTCTGCCGTCCGTGCGCCTCCCGTCGTGGGCCCGGGTCCGCCAGGTGCGGGCACTGATGGAGCGCGCCTCTGCCGAGCGCTTCGTGGGCCCTGGAAGCGACAGGGCCGTGTTTGTTACGGGTTCCGCTTAGCAGTTTTGTTGCTGGTTCCGACGCCGTTTCTGTTACCGGTTCCGTCGCCGTTGTTAACGGCTCCGGCTCTGGCTCCCATCTTGGAGCCGCTTTTGCTGCCGTTTCCGGTCGCCGTTTGTTTTGCCCTTTCCATTTTCGAGAGACATTTGTCCGGAAACTTTACGGCCCTGATGTTTCCGGGACCCACTGAGGCCGAACGCCCGGCGAGAGCACCTCCACGGTGAAAATGGTGGTGTCGGAGCGTCCCTTGATCACCGAACGCGTTCCACTACTCGCAGAAGGCCTACTCGCAAACGTCCGAAAGAAATAACGCATCATACCAGAGAAAAGCCCAATCATCATCTTTTTTAAAGGGTATAGGGCTATGGGTCTAAAGGGCTATAGGGCTATAGGGCTACAAAGTCATAGGGCTATAGGGCTATAGGGCTAGAGGGCTAGAGGGCTAGAGGGCTAGAGGGCTAGAGGGCTAGAGGGCTATAGGGCTATAGGGTTATAAGGGTATAAAGCTATGCAGATATTAGGGCTATAAGGTTATAAAGCTATGGAGGCTATAGGGCGATAGGGGTCGAGGGCTATATGGCTAAGGCTATAAGGCTCTTGGGTTATAAGGCTATAGGGCTGCCGGGCGGGCACCCGGGCACCCCCAGGCACGTCCTGGCACCCGGGCACCCCCGGGCACCCCCGGGCACCCCCGGGCACCCGGGCGTGCGGCGAAAATCGGCGGCAAACCTAACCTAACCATATATGAATCCGCTAGGACCCCTACAGAGGCAAGCTCTGATTGGGGAATGTTCGCCTCGGTGTACTGGATCGTAAACCCCTCGCGGCGGATCCAGGCCATTTGCGAGTAGTTGCTTTGCGAGTCGTGGAGTGCGGAGAGCAGAGATGTTCTGCTCCGTGACGGCCCCTGCGTCCTTTGAGCCACCATGTCTGCGCCTCCGCCGTCTCCGCCGGGCCGAGATCGGCCCAGCTGCCGGGCCCCCTCACCTCGGGGGGGACCTCGCAGGTGCACTGCTCCTGTCGGGGAAACGTAAGACTCGAGTGCACCAGAAAACTCGGGCTTGCCGACGCTTTTCGACGAGCGCGCCTTGGACTGTGACGGTCCAGTTTTCGTGGGATGCTTGCAGCGGGAGTTCGCGGCAAGTCTCAGATTAGCTCTCGTCATTTTCATGACGGCCCCTTCGGGCCAGCCCGAGTCCCCCGAGCCAGAGTCCTACGTCTCTCCGACCTGGGAGCTGTGCGACGCGCGCATCCGAGGAGAGTGGCCGGCTCCTCGGTCGCTTCGAGCCAGCATATACTATCTGCGCCTGGGCCGTCTCCGCCGGGCCGAGATCGGCCCAGCTGCCGGGCCCCCTCACCTCGGGGGTGACCTCGCAGGTGCACTGCTCCTCCTCCTCCTCCTCCTCCTCCTCCTCCCCCTCCTCCTCCTCCTCCTCTTCCTCCTCCTCCTCCTCCCTCTCCTCCTCCTCCTCCTCCTCCTCCTCCTCCTCCTCCTCCTCCTCCTCCTCCTCCTGGAATTTTGCGACGCGTGTCTCCGTGTAGGTGGCCGGTGCCTCGGTCGCCTCGCTGTGCAGAGCGGGCTGCGTGTGGCCTCGGCGGTGGCGGGGCTTTCTCGCGGCCGCGCTCGCGAAGAAGATGGCCCTGCTCCTGTGCGGCCTCTATTTGTCGTCCTCGGGCGCCCGTTGTCGGGGCGCGGCTCCGATGCTGCCCGTTGTCGGGGCGCGGCTCCGAGGGTGTGGGCTGCTCTTCAGTTTCCTTGGCATGTGAGTCGGAGGCTGCCAGAAGGGTTCGTTGGACAAGGTTGGTTTCGCTGGACTCGAGGTCCCTCCCGCCCGACCTTAGGCACTCCAGCACGACCTGAGGCGCCCCAGCAGCCGTCGAAATCACCCTTCTTGAACCAGACCTTCTCGCCGTCCTCGAGTGAGGCGAAAGGGGTCGACCTAAGCGATAGTCTGAGGATCTCGAGGGCCGTTTTCGTTTTCCGATGTAGTTCTGCGGCACGAGGGCGGGCTGAAGAGACAACGAGGGAAGACGAAAGCAAGCCGAAAACGGAAAGCACTGCTTAGGTCGATCCCTGTGAGGCGATGTCGTACCCTACTGCGGCGCTCTCCTCCATCGGCGCCTTGTGATGAGGCGCTCCGCCGAGTCTGCCGCCGAGTCTGCGGCCGGGTGGGCAAGAGGGCACGCCCTGCTCCGTTCGGAAGGCGGCCCAGCTCCTTGGCCGAGAATGCGCGGCCCGCCTGGGCGAGGCACCTCCTTGCGGCAGGTTCGCTTCGCGTCGATCGGCGGCGGCCCAGAATTGGTCGATATGTGAACGACCTGACGTTACGGCAACGGCCGATCGTTCCAAGCTTGAACGATCCCCGCGGTGTCAGGAACCAACGCCGGGGTCGGCACGGCACGAAGCTGGCGTGCATCCTCACTCGGCGCTTCCCCTCGGGAAGCCGAGGCGGCGACCTGCCGCGTCGAGGGCGCCGTCGGCGGTGGCGAGGACGCTGAAGGCGGGGCAAGGCCGTGGGCGCGGCGCTGCCTGGGGCCGGCCCGCGAGGGCCTCGCGGCCCGCCGCCTCGACTCGATTGCCAGGCTGCGAGGCCCTTCCTGGAGCCCTCTGCCGAGCTTCGTGCCCGGGGCGTCTGCGAGCACCGCCCGCGGAGCCTCGAGCCCCTGCCGCTGCCCCAGCGCGCGTCCGCGGCCGTGCGCGCCCGTCGCGCCTCGAGGCGCTGCCGCTGGAGCCACGAGTGGCCCGAGCCGAGGTGGCCACGGGGGGGGACAGAGGAGGCGCAGGAGGAGGAGGAGGCGGAGGAGGAGGAGGAGGAGGAGGAGGCGGAGGAGGAGGAGGAGGAGGAGGAGGAGGAGAAAGGAGGATGAAAGGAGGAGGAGGCGGAGGAGGAGGACGAGGACGATGAGGAGGCGGAGGAGGCGGAGGAGGAGGACGACGAGGAGTGCGGAGGGGGGCCAGGTCGGCCGGGCTAGGATCGGTGCCGGGCCGCGGGCCAGCGCAGATGCTTGGGTGGGCGTGCGCTTCCAAGGACCAGCGACATCGCCACGTCCGACAGCACGATTGAGAAGCTTGTCGCGAGCATCGCCACGCAGACCAAGGACTGAGTAGAAGGAGGTGTAGGAGGAGGTGGAGGAGGCGCAGGAGCAGGAGGGCAGAGGAGGCGGAGGAGGCAAAAGAGGAGGAGGAGGAGGAGGAGGAGGAGGAGGAGGTGGCAGTGGAGGAGGAGGAGGGGGAGGAGGAGGAGGAGGAGGAGGAGAAGGAGGAGGAGGAGGAGGAGGAGGAGGAGGAGGAGGAGGAAGTGGAGGAGGAGGCTGGAAACGACCCGAAAGGGTCAGGCATTAAAATCCCCCCGAGGCCCCCAAGAAGCCCCAGGGACCCCTGCCGAGGCCTCAAGTCCTTGGCGTAGGCCGAGCTTGGATGAAGCCCCAGGCTCGGCCCTCGCCGACCTGGCCACGACGACGGCGCCCGCCTCCTGGTCGAAGGCGGCGTCCGAGGCCTCCGCCGTGGCCGCGTCGAGCTGCACGACGAGCTCGGCGCAGCGCCAGGCGGCGGCCGCCAGCTCGTCATGCTGCGCCTGGCTCTCCACAGCGCCGCCGTTGCGCACAACGGCGACCGCCAGCGCAGCAGCGTTCAACTTCGCCTCATCCTTCTCGATCTTACGCTTGACGCGGTCGAGGCAGGCGCAAGCTGTTTCCTTCGCCCCGTCGGTGTCCTTGCAGAATGGGGCGCACTTGATGTCCTTCATCAGCTCCCCCATCTTCTCGGAGTCGTTCTTGGTCTCCCGCTTGTGGAGCCGAATGTCCTCCAGGACGAGCACGTCTCCGTCGTTCCTGGCCGAGACCGTCTCCTCCACCTCATCGATGGCTTCGCAGTCAGGGTCGCCCTTGATGTCATTCCTCATCAGCTCCCCCAAAATCTCGGAGCCGTTCGTGGTCTCCCCCTCGTGGAGCCGAGTGTTCTCCAGGACCAGCACGTTTCCATCGCTCATGGCCGACACCAAACCCTTCACCGCATCGGTGGCTTTGCCATCAGGGTCGCCCTTGAAGTCATCTTCATCAGCTCTCCCATCCGCCCGGAGCCGTCCTTGGTCTCGCCCTTGTGGAGCCGAAATTTCTCCAGGACCAGCACATCTCCGTCGCACATGTCCGACACCAATTCTTTCACCGCATGGTTGGTCTTGCAGTCTGGGGTGCACCTGACGCCGAACTTCAACAGCTCCCCCGTCTGCACGGAGTCGTTCTTGGTCTCCCCCTTGTAGAACCATGTGTTCTCTAGGACCAGCACATCTCCATCGCTCATGGCCAACACGAGCTCCTTCACGTCGGTATCCTAGTTGCCTGGGCCGCGAGAGACGTCCTCCAACTTCTGCTCCCCGATCTTCCTCGCCACCGGCTTCGCAGTCGGCTTCTCCAGGGGTTCGGCCAGAGCGCCACGGCGTCGCCCCCTCTGCTTCTGCTTCGCCTCCTTCGCAGTGGTAGGGAGCGCAGCCACGCCCTCGCCGAAGAGCGCGCAGCGCGGGTCCCGTTGGCGATGCGGGCCTGGGTATCCATGTGGGCCGCCACGACTCAGGACTCAGGGGTAAACACACAGACACAATCAATCGTCGATCCCCAGGAAAATATGGGAAGTGGGGGAAAGACAAAAACCCAGAAAAGACAAGGAAAATATGGGGAACCCTCTTATTTGTGTGTATATATATATATATTTGTGTCTCAGGGCCCCTTCAACGACCTTGGCCCTGAGGACGGGCTCGACCAGCGCGGCCGCTGACCTCGTCCTCTATCTCTTGCCTGCACCGGACGTCGTCACCGCCGCCACCGCGGGCCGCACGCCACGAGGCGACCGCCGCGGCCGCCACGACGTGCCGCGAGCCGCCCGCCTCCACGGCCGCGCGGAGGAGGCCCGCCGCCGGGCGATCCACGGGACTGGGCGGGGACCGCAGTGAGCTCGAACCGGGGGCCGAGCAATGGCTTGAGCCAAAATGGCTGCAGAAGTGGAGGGGGAGAGGGAGGAGGAGGAGGGAGGAGGAGGAGGAGGAGGAGGAGGAGGAGGAGGAGGAGGCGGAGGCGGCGGAGGAGGAGCAGGAGCAGGAGGAGGAGGAGGGAGGAGGAGGAGGAGGAGGAGGAGGAGGAGGCGGAGGCGGCGGAGGAGGAGCAGGAGCAGGAGGAGGAGGAGGAGGAGGAGGAGGAGGAGGAGGAGGAGAAGAATAGGGCGGAGGCGGAGGCGAAAGAGGAGGGGCGGGAGGAGCAAGAAGGGGCGCACGGAGGTGGGCGGAGACCAAGGACTGGGGTGGAGGAGTGAGGGCAGAGGTGGTGCAGAGCGCGGGCTGGAAGGTAAGTGCAGGGAAGCGGGGGGCATACAGCCTTGTCGTTGAAACAAGGAACGCCTCGGGTGCGGAAGGGGCTCGCTGTTCCTTAAGCAGCTCTTCCATGGCTCCTCCTCCATTACTCCTCGTGCGCCTAGGCGCTTCTGGGGCCAAGAAGGGGCTTCGTTCCTCAATTCGCGTTCCTTCTGATATTACCTCGACTGCATCGGCAGTCGGCGCAAGGCAGCACAATTTTGGGGCTCCAGCAGGCGGATATGTTACGCAGGCGAACCGAGGAACCGAGGCGTCAATGTGAGCAGGATCTGTGTGGCCCGTTGGCCAGACATTACCACTGCCTCTGCTGCCAGGGTGCCAGTGCTCACTTACCGTGGGTACGATCTGTCCTGCAATCCGATGGGCGATGGGCACAGCCCGTAGACTGCACGGCGCTTCCCGCAAGATGGCGTTCACGACGAGCTCCTGATCACCACACACCGAACCACCCCAACCCAACCCGAAGGCTTGAATTTGCCCTGCATTTCCAGTGGGGGGGGGGTCGGGGAACATCCAACAAACACATGTGGAACCCGTACCCCCCCACCAACCCGAAACTCGGGTCTTCGGGTTGGGTTGGGGTGGTCTGCTGGGTAGCCAATCGATGCGTCGGCACTCGCGTGCGCCCCGTCAGAAGTCTCCAGCTGCCTGCGGCAAGTCCCACAACCGTGCCGGCCGCCCGGGCTGTCCCCCTACAGGGGGATTTCCGACGAAAACTAAAAATTGCCCAAAATAGTCAAGCAAAATCCAAACATAGTCTGGGGACTATTTGTTGAGTATGTTTTACCTTTTGGGGATATATTGGGGGTATTTTTTAAAAATTTTTGTCGACAATCCCCCTGTAGGGGGACACGCCCGACATAAGCGCAGCACTTCGGGCGGCGACTTCCTCGAGGCCCGAGCAGGCCGCCGCAGAACGACACCGCGCGCTCCGCGGCACGCGCTCCTCCGAGCCGTGCCAGGGCGCACCTCCTCGTGCCCGTCGTGTTCCTCCTCCCCTCCTCCTCTCCCCTCCTCCTCTCCTGGGGGGCTCCTGGGAGCCTCTCGGGAGGCCTCTCGATCTCTCCTCGTGTCTGCCGCTGCCTTCCTCCCGCCCTTCTTCTTCGTCCCCCTCCCCTCCTTGGGGGGCTCCTGGGGGCCTCTTGGAGGCCGGGGGGGCCCTCCGCGCCTCTCGGGGTCGCCTTGGGCGCCTCCTTCGGGGCGCTGCTGGGCAGCCCGGCACCCTCGGCGTCCGTCTGGGGCGCCTCTCGGGGCCGTCTCGGGGCGTCTCGGGGCCCTGCAGGCACCAAGCAGACCTCGAAGAAGACACAAAACAAGTAAACATAAACTTTCGACGCCCCGTGCGGATTTCTTGGATCTGCGCCAGGGCCCCCTGGCGGCGCCTCTGGCGCCGCCCCTGGCGCGCTCCGCGCGCCAGGGAGGGGGGCCCAGCGCAAATCCAAGAAGTCCGCGCGAACCGTCGAACGTTTTTGTTTAGGTGTTTTAGTTCTTCCTCTCATGCCACAACCCCTCCCCTGCACGCCGGTCGTCGAGGGCAGGTGTTCTTGGGTTCCCGGGCCCAGTCTCATTTGGGCGCCTGCCTACTTCAGAGCGTCGAGCGGTGGTCCTTCTGCCCTCCTCTTCAGGGGGCGGGCGGAAGTCCGATCCACTTCCAGCGCCTTCCGACTTCATGTTTCTGCCCGCTTCCTTGGCATCGCTCGGACGTGTGTATGTTTCCTTCGGCGAGGACCATCGAGGAGCATCATTGATCACTTGGCGAAAAAACCACGCACGAAAGCGAAACAAACACAGGGAATGGACGTCCGAGCGATGGCGAGCTTCTTCCGACAGACGGGTAAGCCTATTGCAGCCTCCCGCGATGGTGGCGTGGGGGGGGACGGGGTGGCGTCCGTACGACCTAGCGCCTTCAGTCCACAGTCCACTGGTGAGGGCACAGGGGAGGGGCAGGAACGCATGGAGGAAAGGAGGAGGAGGAGGAGGAGGAGGAGGCGGAGGCGGAGGCAGAGGGACAAATGATAGCGAGAAGGAGTCAGAATGCATATGTGCGCTGGCACGCTGGCATGAACTTGCAGTGTACACGATTGAAGCTTGTTTCTTCTGGAGGACCTTGCCGATGCTACAGCCATCCGCGAGAAGGAGGCTGGTGAGTTTGTAGCTAACGAAGCGGAGCTGGTGGACTCCATCGACACCCTCGGCAGGGCAATTAGCATCATCTCCAAGGAGATGGCCAAGAACCCTGCGGCCTTCACACAGGCGGGGCCATGACTATGCGAGGTGATGAACAGTGGTCTTTGTTGGGCACCCTTGCAAACTTCTGCGTTCACTGATGCATGCTCTTTTTTATGAGATGTGCGTGTGTGTGTGTGTGTACAATGTGTCCACTGACTTCATTTCTTCCGTCATTGCACTTTTCTGCGCCGCGCCTGCGGGTGAGAGCGCGCACGCGCGCGCGCGCGCGCGCGCGTGTGTGTGTGTGTGTGTGTGTGTGTGTGTGTGTGTGTGTGTGTGTGTGTGTTGGGCGTTGTGTGTATGGTGTGTGCGGGTTTGCGCGCACACGTGTGTGTGTGTGTGTGCGCGCGCGTGTGTGTGTGTGTGTGTGTGTGTGTGTACGTTTGTGCGTTTGTGCGTGCGTGCGTGTGCTTGTGTGTATGCGTTCCCGTGCGTGCGTACAGCCTCGCATCGGCCAGCTGTGTCTGCCCCTCGCCCAGCATCCAACGAAGGTGCTCTCTTCCCAGTCGGCGACTCCAGGCTTCAGTCGTTCTGCCTCCGTGGCCCGTCCTGCCTGGCCTGCCTCGAGTGTGGCACCGCAGGGGTGGACCTCAGCGGTGTCTTGGCGATTTCGTGGGCCGTCTTCGTTTGGGTTTCGTTGCCTGTCAGAGGCGGACTGGAGACAAAACGAGGGACAACGAAGACAGATCGGAATCGACAAACACCGTTCAGGTTCAGCCTTGTGGCACCGTGGCGTTGGAGGAGAGCGAGTGCGTGCACGTCCTGGTCGGCGATTCCAGGCACCGTCCTCGTCGGCGGTTCCAGGCTTCAGTCGTTCTGCCCTTCAGTCGTTCTGCCTCCGTGGCCCGTCCTGCCTGGCCTGCCTCGAGCGTGGCACCGTGGCGTTGGAGGAGAGCGTGTGCGTGCCACGCACTGAAGGCGTCCGGTATCGTGGCGCTCGCCCCCGAGTGCCGGGCCCCCCCGGGCTGTCCGGGCCGGCGGCCCCGGCTCCTCCCCCAATGCCTCTGCGGGCGCGGCCCTCTGCCCCCGACGCGCCTCCTCCTCCTCCCTCCTCCTCCTCCTCCTCCTCCTCCTCCTCCTCCTCCTCGTCCTCCTCCTCCAGTTTTTCGGGGCCTCGCGCAGAGGGGACTACAATAGGGGAAAGGGGGGACGCCTTCTTAGAAGCACCCATGCTTCTTGGCAGGCGCGGGCCTTTTCTGCAGATGGGATGCCAGGGCCTTCCAAGCAGCGGCCTGCTCCTGAAAAGCCCTCCCCCCTCCCACTGCCCCGCTGTGAGAGCTGCCAATTGACAGGAGGGGACAAGCACGCAGACACAAGTCACCCTCGGCTCCCACGAAAAGATGGGACAATATGGGAAGGGGGGCGGGGGGGGGCGCAGACCCAGAAGAGATAGGAAGATATGGGGAATCCTGGGAGTGGTGTCCGCTTGTTTGTGTGTCCCTGGGCCCCTTTAGGGGAGGCTGAAGACAGTCGGACCGAGGTCGAAGATCGAGGTCGGTTCGGGAAGGGTGCGAGCGCACTGCTGTGTTCGGGGCCGCAGCGGGCGTTGTGGGGGGAGAGGGGGGGGAGGACGGGAGGGGGCACGACGCAGTACCCCCCACCCGCCACCTTAGTTGCCTGGATACGCCCGTTTTGATACGCAATACGTCCCGTGTTCAAGACGTCCGTGTCAATACGCTGCGTGTTGCTCCACGTATGGGACCACGTTCTGGCGAGTGTATCGCGTCGGACCTGCGTTTTCAGCCTACGTGTTGAGCTCCGTATCAATACGCTACGTGTTGCGTGTTGTGTATCGGGGCAGCTAAGGCCCCCCCAACCCTCAGACTCTGGTGCCGGACGGACTGCGGCAGTGCCGGCGACGCACCGAGGAGGGGAGCGTTGCTTGCTTTCGCTGGGGAGGGGGAGGAGGGGGGGGAGGGAGGAGGAGGGCGGGAGGGCGTGACGCGCGTCATGGCCCAGAGGGTAGTATTATGTCGGGCGTGTCCCCCCCCTACAGGGGGACTGTCGACGAAAAATACGCCCAAAATACACCAAAAAGGCAAAACAATATTCAACAAATAGTCCCCAGACTATTTTTTGAGTATTTGTTTGATTATTTTGGGGGTATGTTTTATTTTTCGTTTTTTTCGTCGCAAATCCCCCTGTAGGGGGACAGGCCCGACTTAAGGATGATAAAAAACACATTCTACTGCAGTCTTCTTCGTGCGTGGTGGATGCTCTTGCGCCTCCTGGGGAGGGTGCCCTTGGATGTTCTGTGTGCCCTGGTCGACGGGGGGCCTCCTGTCCCTGAACTGTGTTCTTCTGGCCCAGGTCCCACTGCAGTGGACGAACAGTTCGAGCAAATGATCGACTGCAGGACTTCAGGGTTCATTCACCCCAGCATGGATTTTCTCGCCGAGTCAGTCGTAGAATTTCCGTAGATTTACGGGCACTCCGCGCATTTCTCATGGATTCGACGACCGACTCAATTCGGGGGAAAATCGATTCTGTAGTCGATCCCCTACTCGAATCGTGTCAAGCAGTGGCGAGGCGTCCTGGCTTGCCTGCAGGCCCACCAAAGAATGCTCTTCTGGTTTCCAGGAGATGTTCTCAGAGCATTTCTGGCTCAGGCCGTCTGAGTTTCAGCACATCGGCTTCGTGTTCTGAGAGCATTGGTGTTGTTCTTAGACGTTCTTCTGCCCCGAGATCATGTCCTGGTAGGCCTAAAGGAATGCCGGGACGGTCGGCCCCTACTCGAGGGGAGGGGACGGGGGGGGAGAGGTCTTCCCTTCGGCTCCCTGCTCAGCCGCCTCCCACTTCTCCTCCTCCTGCTCCTGCTCCTCCTCCTTCTCCTCCTCCTCCTCCTCCTCCTCCTCCTCCTCCTGGTCTGTTGTGGCGATGAGCTAGGTGCACAGCCGGGGCGCGTGGAGACACATCATCTGCCCTCTTCTCGCGTCGTGCCCGCTTGCCCTCGTCTCGTCCCTTTCAGGCTACTTCAACTCCTCCTCCTCCTCCTCCTCCTCCTCCTCCTCCTCCTCCTCCTCCTCCTCCTCCTGGTCTCCCTCCCTCCCTCCCCGCTCTCTCCCCCGGGACGAGGATCGGGACGGGGCCGCGAGAGAACGGCCCGAGGTGGACACCTCCAGCTTCGAGGGCCTCATGAAGGGCCTCGCCGCCGTCATGGAGGCCGCGTCCTTCTCCAGCGCCAGCAAGCAGAAGCTGACGGCGCTCGTGCAGGCGGGCCAGAGGGCCGACAGCGAGGAGGATCAGAGGGGGAGAACGCATACCAACGCGAAGCCCATCCCCTCGTGTTCGGCCCTTGGGGCCTCCTGGGGGAGTCGCCGTCGGCACGGCTGGCTTCGCCTCGGAGTCCTTGTCAGAGCGCACCCCGGGAGTGGTCTGGGGAGTGGCGGTGTCGGCATGCTTCAGGTGTTGCTAGAAGAGGTCCTTGCCCGAGGTGCCCGAGAGCCTCCTGGGGCCTCGTGGGGCTCCCTGGGCCTCGCGAGGGGTGCTCTAGGAGGCCATCTGGGCCTCCCTGGAGCTCCGCGGGACACCTCGTGCCAGGGACACGTCTGGCAACACCCGGGTACCTCTGTCTTCACAGAGGACCCCATGGGCGCACCTTCGGCGACCGTCTACAAGACGCACTCGACCGAGATCCTGGACGTCCTCGAGGACCTTAAGGAGAAGGCCGAGGAAGACCTGGCCGCCCTGCGCAAGGCCGAGACCAACGCGAAGCAGAACTACGACATGCTGAAGCAGTCGCTGGACGATGCGAACGTCAACGACAACAAGGACATGGCGGACGAGAAGGCCGCGAAGAGTGCCGCGGAGGAGGAGAAGGCTGCGGACACCAAGGACCTCGAGATGACCGTGAAGGCGCTCGCCGATGCGAACGCCGCCCTGGAGAGCATCAAGACGGACTGCATGACCGTTGCAGCGGACCACGAGGCGAGCGTGGCTGGGCGCAACGTCGAGCTCAAAACAATCGCCGAGGCCGTGAAGATTCTCAAGGACACGTCTTCTGGGGCCGTGGCGCAGTCCTACTCTTTCGTGCAGCTTTCCACTGGCATGCAGACGTCCGCAGACCTGAAGAAGGCGGAGGTCGTCAACGTGGTGCAGCAGTTGGCCAAGAAGTTCCACTCCTCCGCCCTCGCACAGTTGGCGTCGCGCATCCAGGCCGTAGTGCGTCTAGGCAGCGCCGCTGGCGAGGACCCGTTTATGACCAGATCTGGTCCACCATGTAGGGGATCCGGCTGCAGATTCGGCCCACCATGTTGGGAGACCAGATCTGCAGCCAGGTCATCTCGACGGTCCGTTTGCGGAACCTGTGCAGGACCCGTTTGTGAAGGTAAAGGGGCTCATTCAGGACCTCATCGCCAAGCTTGAGTCAGAGGCGTCCGCGGCAGCCGAGGAGAAAGCCTACTGCGACGATCAGATGGCTAAGACGGAGGAGAAGAAGAGCGAGCTCGAGGAGGACATGGCCACCCTCACCGCGAAGATCGACAAGGCCGCGGCGACGTCGGCGATGCTGAAGGACGAGGTGAAGGAGCTCCAGGCCGAGCTCGCCGCGCTTGCCAAGCTGCAGAGCGAGATGGACAGCATCCGCAGCGAGCAGAACGCCGCATACACCACGGCCAAGGCTCGAGGACGAGCAATTTCTGCGCAGCATGAGCTTTCGCAGCTCCGCGCGGTCTTCCTGCGTCGGCGCTGGGCCCCCCCTCCCTGGCGGCGCCAGAGGCGCTGTCAGGGGGGCCTGGCGCGGATCCCAGCAATCCGCGCGGACCTCGGACAGTACATGTTCACGCAGCCTGCTTCCTCCTCTGCAAGGCGGACCTGACCCTCGGGCTGAGGGGCGTGCGCGACGCGCTGTCGGTGCTGCGCAACTACTACGGCAGCGCCGCCTCGATGCTGCAGGACGGCACCGACGCCGCGCAGCCCGCGAAGCCAGTCAGCCACTCTATGGCGTCGGGGGCTGGTGGCAGCATCATCTCGGAGGAGGGGCCGGAGGAGACGACGGCGGCCCTCCCTTGTGTTCTTCGTGCTTTTCGGGGCCTCCTGGAGTCTTCTCGCCGCCTCGGCTGGATCCGCGTTGAAAAACGGGTCAGGATGGACCCTGGGAGGAGGAGGAGAGGAGGAGGAGGAGGAGGAGGGAGGAGGAGGAGGAGGAGGAGGAGGAGGAGGAGGAGGAGGAGGAGGAGGAGGAGGAGGAGGAGGGGTCCGGGGACCGATTCTGAGCGGACGTGGGCCGCGTGCGGGAGAGCCGAGGCTGTCTCAGCCGGCCCTCCTCCGATCATCGGCATCCTGGAGGTCGTGGAGAGCGACTTCGCGAAGAACCTCGCGACGGAGGAGGCCGAGGAGGGCGTTGGCAGAACTGGGCTTGGTGGGACCTGGTTTGGTGGTGTGCACTGGGGGACGCCCCCTCCTCCCCCGCCCCGTTCCACTGACCGGAACTGCCGTCACCCGAACAAAAGCACACCAGTTTCGGCAGACCTGGTTTGGTGACCTTGGCCACCTTGGGCTCCGGGGCCCCAGCACCCACCTGGGCCCCCTCACCCTGGGGTCCTGGCTGTGCCCGGGAGGAGGCAGACGCGCAGGCGGTGTACGACAAGACGACCCAGGAGAACAAGGTGACCAAGACCATGAAGGAGCAGGACGTGGTGTACAAGGCTCGGCCCGCGCCCCAGAGCGGGTGGCGGCCGCGAGGGGGCGGCCTGCCTGCCGAGCAGCCCGCGGGCTTCCCGAGGGCAGCGGCCTTCGCGAGCGGGCCCGGCGGCTGCCGCGGAGGCTCCTTGGAAGCCGGGGGTGTGGCTTGCAGAGGGCCCCCGGCCTCCTCTCGGAGGCCCCTCCGCCTGCTCAGAGGGCCGCCCCCCCCTCGGAAGGAGGCAGGGGCCCTCTGCAGGGCCAAACTCCGAGAGGGCCACCCTCGGAAGCCGCCGGGCCCGTCCAAGCAGGCCCCCCCTGCCCTCGAGAGGCCCCTCGGCTTCTCAGAGGGCTTCCTCCCACGTGCCACTCCGCTTGTCAGGAGGGGAAAGGACGCCCAGGCACAATTCATCGTCGACTCCCAGGAACATTGGGGAAAATATGAGAAGGGGGGGGGGGGAAGACGCGGGCCGAGAAAATATGGGGGGGAATGTGGGGAATCCTGGGATTCGTGTCTATCTATTTATGTGCCCCTGGGCCCCTTTGTTCTGGGGCGCCGCCAGAGGTGAAGGAGTTCAAGTCTCTCGACAAGAGCGTGGCGGACATGACCTCCGACCGCGCGGGCAAAGACACTCAGCTCAAGGCGGTGCTGGAGTACTACGCCCAGGTTTGAGTAGGAGATCGACTGCACAATTGACTTGCTTCAGAATTCTTGTCCTTCACACAGTCCATGAAACAACACGACGTAGGAGTGTTCGTAGATCTACGCGCATTCTATGTTCTCCATTGGTAGATACGGCGAACATCGATGCGGGAGCCAAATTAATTCTGTAGTCGATCCCTTAATTACTCGAAAGGTGAAGGACCGCTGCATCGCCAAGCCCGAGAGCTACGAGGATCAAAGACGAACAAACGGCATGAGCATAATTTCTTTGAGTTCCGCGCAGATTTCTCGGATCGGCGCGGGGGGCCCCTGGCGGCGCCTCCGGCGCCGCCCCTGACGCGCTCCGCGCGCCAGTGAGGAGGGTCCAGCGCCTATCCAGGAAGTCCGCGCGGAGCTCCCAAAGTCTCTGTTCATGCAAATCTTGTTCTTCTGGAGGAGCGCAAGGCCCGGCGCGAGAGCGAGATCGCCGGACTCCGGCAGGCTCGGGCTGCGCGCAGGAGTGACCCTTGGCCGGAGTGACCTGTGGTGCGAGCTCACAGGGGTCCCCCCATTGGCCTGCTCGCTCGGATCATGGGCAATTTCTCCACCACCACCACCGCATGTATGACGGGGGAGAAGGGAGGATGAGGAGGTCCTCCTCCTCCTCCTCCTCCTCCTCCTCCTCCTCCTCCTCCTCCTCCTCCTCCTCCTCCTCCTCCCCTCCTCCTCCTCCTCCTCCTCCTCCTCCTCCTCCTCCTCACTCCTCCTCCTCGTCGTCGTCGCCTCCTCCTTCCTCCTCCTACTCCTCCTACTCGCCTTCCTCCTCCCCTCTCCTACCTGTGGTGGTGGTGGTGGAAAATGGGCCCATCGTTGGAGCTGGCCCACCAGCGGCCCACGAACGCGGCGCACCAGAGGTCACTCTCGTTGCCTGGGGAGCCACTCTTGTGCGCGTGGTCGGGAGGCGCTGTCCATCCTGGAGTCGGAGACGGCCCTGGTGCTCACCACCCGCCATCGAAGAAGAAAATTCGGGGGTGAACAGAACCCCCACCCCGACATGTCGATTCGTGAATTGTCCGTTTTCGGTTCTTGAGAGGGCGCCGCGGCCGTCGTTTTCCAGGCTTGTGCCCGCCAGGTTTGGGCCCAGGGCCGCTTACACTAAACCACGTTTTACTAAAGGGGGGTCTGTCCATCCCCGAAAAAACGTAATGAAAACAAAGTTTTGGCGCTCCGCGCGGATTTCTTGGACCCGCGCGGCCCCCCCTCCTGCGGCGCCTCCGGCGCCGCCTCAGCGCGCCAGGAAGTCCCAGCACGGACCCAAGAAATTTGGCGGAGCGCCAAAAATCTATGTTTATGCGTTTTGTTGTTTTTGTTTTGTTTTTTGTTTCTCAACAAGCCACCCCAACCAAACCCGAAGGCCCCTTAACTTGCCCTCCACTTCCAGGATGGGGGGGGGCGTGCGAGAACATTGGAAAGCACACGTGGAACCCGCACCCCCCCAACCCGAAGTTTGAGTCGTCGGGTATGGCTTAGGGGAACCAAAAAGTACCAATACCGCTACTCTCCGGACCTCTCCCGTGCTGCGTTCTGACCAGAATCTCGAGGCGAATCCAGCGGTGGCGACGATGGCCTCCCAGGAGGCCCCAGACGGGAAAACGGGGGAAGGGCAGCGGTATGGGTACCTCGTACTTGTCCGACGTGTGGGGTGGGGTAGGTTCGCGTCGTGTCGACTGTCGGCGACCCCGCCGCTGGTGCTCCACGGAGAACGCCGCCGGCGACCCCGAATCGGTCGATGTTGAACGATTGGACGTTCCAGAAGCGGCCGATCGTTCGAGGTCGAACGATCACCGCGGTGTCAGGGGCCAACGCCCGGTCGACACCGACACGATCTTGCTGTGGCCAGGTGCAGCTGCGCACCCGGAAGCGCGCCGCGGGGGACGGCTTCCTCTCGGGGTGCTGCTACACGTGCCCCTGGCCTCAAGTAGGGCCCGTCCCTCTACAGGAGGAATATGCAAGACATAGGCAAGAAGTGGTACGGGGACGATGTGTTGAGCATGCTTTGACTATGTTCGAGCATTTATGGCGTACTTTTGTTTTTTCGTCCGAGCTCCGCCTGTAGGGGGGCACGCCCGACCGATCCCTGGCCCAGGGTGCCCCAAGGCTCTCTCCAGGCAGGGCCCCACGGCCTCTGGAGAGCACCCCATCCACGAGGCCCAGAGGGCGGCCCCAGGGGCTCCAAGCTTCAGGTTGATCCAAAAGGGGGTCCAGCGACAAGGGGGTGGTGCAATAAATTTGGTGCAATAGAATTGCGGGGTTGTAACACATCTGGGGCGTGCAAGACATTCCAGGGCGCAAGTGTACTGCTGGATTTTCGCGTGCAAGACATTACTTGCAATACTATGCAATACAACTCTCCAGCGCAATGCGTTTGCAATACAATTGCCCCGAATCTGTTGCACCACCCCTTTTCAGCTGGACCCCCTTGTGGGTCACCCAAAAAAACTGGAGCCAGAAGCTGGTTCGGCGGCGAGCGAGGAGGGGAGTGAAAAGGGGCGGTCCTTTTCAGAAGGCTCCGAAGTCGCCCGGCCTTCTGAGAAGTGTTCTGAGCCTTCCCCGAAGACAGAGAGCACCTCTCAGACGGCACCTCGTCTCCTCCTTCTCCTCTTCTCCTCCTCCTTCCCCCCCGTCGCCTCCTCGTTCCTCCGCCTCGTCTCCTCCCCGTCTCCTTCCTCCTCCTCTTGTGGGCCGTGGTGCATCTGCGGCTTCTCGATGGCTCGGTGGAGCCGCCGGTCGAGGCGGCATGACTTTCTAACTGCCCGAATTTCCGCCCGCGGTGGAATCATGCTGTCCGCTCCCATCGTCTCTCCCTCCCACAACAGGAAGCCTCTCGGACGGCGCAGGGGCTTCTGAGAAGTCCCGCCGCCTTGTGTGTTAGCCCAATATGCGTGTGTGTGTGTGTGTGTTTCCCCGTGCGGCCCGTGTCGGCCATCGTTTACCTTTCCTTTGTCGTGTTGAAGGGCCTCGGTGGAGGAGCACGCGCCGGCGCTGGTACACCTGCTGAGGATCATCGGCAAAAGCTGGGGGCACCTTGGTTAGGTGCCGTTTTTGATACATGCTCCGCGTGCGGATCATGTATTAACAATGCAGGGTTTTAGTAGCAAAAACAACGATGAGTTCACGCATAAACTTCTTCATGAATTAGTAATGTAATAAAATCCATGTTTTTAATCCTATATCTTAAAACTGCCCTGTGGGTGCTCGATCATGGACCCTTGTTGAACGAAGCCGGTCAGCTTTCGCGCCGAAGACCGCTGGAAACCGCCAGAGGCCGCCGGAAACTGCCGAAGACCGTCTGAATGCCGCCGAACACCGCCGGAGACCGCGCGAGAACCGCCCGAGGACCGCCGAAGACGGCCCGGGAGCAGTGGGTAACAGGGGGCCCATGGTCGAACACGTAGCATCGGCCCCCAGTCGCCCATTCTTATCGCCGTTCCCAAGAGGGGTTTTCCTGGCCGCGCCGCGCGCACCTCCCACCGAAGCAAGCGGCGGGGGCGGGGTTAGCGCGGGGGGTGGGTGTGGAGCCTCTCTCGGGGGACTACTTTCGGGAAGCTCCGTGGTCACACTGGGAGCCGCTTCGGAGCGGATATGGGGCCTCCTCGGAGGCCCGTGGGAACGCACGCAGCGCTCCAGGGGAGGAAAACAGGCCTGTTGGGCAACGAGGGGTCCCCGGTCGAACACGCAGCCTTGGGCCAGGGGCACCTCTAGCAGCCCCCGATCCTCGGCCCCGCCACGCCGTGAGCTGGCCGCGGGCCGTTGCTCTCCCTCCCCGCGGCGCCGGCCGGCCGCGCGCTCCGCGGATCCCGCGGCGCGGGGGCCGGGGGCCCGAAGCGCAGCGGTGCGAGGCCCCGCCTGCCCTCCTTGGGCTTCGGCTGCTGCTGCTGCTCCTGCTCCTCCTCGTCCTCCTCCTCCTCTTCCCTCCTCCTCCGGCTCCTCCTCCTCCGCCTCCCTCCTCCTCCTCCTCCTCCTCCTCCTCCTCCTCCTCCTCCTCCTCCTCCTCACACAGTCCTGGCAAATGGGACGCACAGTCCCTGTTATGGGACACGCAGCCCTGGCAAATGGGACGCGCAGTCCCTGCTATGGGACACACATTCCTGGCAAATGGGACGCGCAGTCTCGATTATGGGACACACAGTCCTGGCAAATGGGACGCACAGTCCCTGTTATGGGGCACGCAGTACCCGCGCATTGGAGGATGTCCCATGTAAATCGGAGGTGAGGGGGAGAGATCGAAGTGTTTGGTACGGAAGAGGAATATCTTGTCTGGTATTGCGTTATTTGGTCTCCTCCTCCTACTGCCCCTCTTCCTCATCCTATTCCTCCTCCTCGTGCTTTTGGCCCCGTGCCCCAGCCACGTCGTGGAGGAGTAGCCAGGTAGGTTCATGCTTTGACATGCACCACCCAGGGTAGCATGATTTAGGTTGCAGATAGTTCAGTGCTTTCTGGTGTTTGATTTGGAATTGGAATTGAACATGGCGTGCCACCATTGTTAGGGCACGAAGCGGTAAAACATTACCCGTGTCTTAAACGACAGCCGTGACAATCCTCCTCCTCCTCCTCCCTCCTCCTCCTCCTCCTCCTCCTCCTCCTCCTCCTCCTCCTCCTCCTCCTCCTCCTCCTCCTCCTCCTCCTCCTCCTCCTCCTCCTCCTCTCCTCCTCCTCTCTCCTCCTGCTCCTTCCTCCCTCCCTCCTCCCCTCCTCCTCCTCCTCCTCCTCCTTCCTCTCCTCTCCTCCATCTCCTCTTCCTCCTCCTCCTCCTCCTCCTCCTCCTTCCTTTCTCCTCCTCCTCCTCCCCTCCCTCCTCCTCCGCCTCCTCCTCCTCCTCCTCCTCCTCCTCCTCCACCTCCTCCTCCTCCTTCTCCTCCTCCTCCTCCTCCTCCTCCTCTTCCTTCTCCTCCTCCTCCTCCTCCTCCTCCATCTTCTCCTCCTCCCTCCTCCTCCTCTGGAGGAGGAGGAGGAAAGGCACCCACACCGCTGCCCTTCTGGGATTTTCCGCTTCTTGGGGCCTCCTGGGAGGCACTCGTCGCCACGGCTGGACTCGCCTCTAGATTTTGGTCAGAACGCACCCCAGGAGAGGTCCCGGGAGAAGTGGTACCGGTACCTTTTGGTTTCCCCACCTCCTCCTCGGATTCCAGGGTCAGACGACATATCAGAGGAGGACAAGGTGCCCATGCCGCTGGCCTCCGCCCGTTTGGGGGGCCTCCCGGGAGGCCCTCGTCGCCACAGCTGGACTCGCCTCGAGACTCTGGCTCAGGACGCCGCACCCCGAGAGAGGCCGCTCCTTCCCTCCTTGGGCTTTGGCCTGCCGCTCCTCTCGGTGGCGGCATCCGAACCATGCCCATCGGTCGTTGAAAGTAGGTATTCTTGGATACCTTGTTCACAATCTACTGTAGAGACCTTCTTACAACAAGAGTCGAGTGGTTTTCCCTCTGCCCTCCTCTTCAGGAGGCGGACGGAAGCCCAATTTACTTCCAACGCCTTCCTGCTTCATGATTCTACCTACGTCTTCCGAACGATGGCTATCCTCACTAACCATCGATCCCCCTGAGCCGATAAGAGGCGGGATTCTCGATCTGCCGTCGCCAGACCTCCGAAGGCGCTAGTCTCGCCATCGCCCGGACGTCCATTCCCCGCGCATGTTTCGGTCTGGTGCGTGCTTCTTCTTTTTTTGTTCCCACAGGATGCTCCAGGATACTCCTCAATGGCCCCCGCCGAGAAAAGGTGCACACGTCCGAGTCATGCCAAGTATTGCTCCCGTCGAAGACAGCCGGGAGGGGCATGCGGGGGCCCCCGTCGCCCGAGACACATTCGAAACTCTGGGCGCCGAGAGGGAGGCGAGAGGAGCGAGGCGGGGTCGGACCCCAGCGAGCCGTTGGGTTCCAGTTCTGCTGCCGCATGGTGCTCGCCGCCCCCACCGACCGTCGAGTCCCCCGAGTCGATGTTGAGGGGAGTTTCTGCGATCTCGGCCCAGCAGGTGGTGGACGCCACCAGGAATAGGGGAACAAAAAGTGGCATAAACATAAAAACTCGGAGGTCCGCGCGGACTGCTCGGATCGGCGCTGGGGCCCGCCGGCGGCGCCTCCGGCGCCGCCCCTGGCGCGCTCCGCGCGCCGGGTAGGGGGGTCCGCCGATCCGAGAAATCCGCGCGGACCTCCGAGTTTTTATGTTTATGTCACTTTTTGTTCCCCTAAGGAAAGAAGCCGCCCTAGTGGCGGACCAGCACGCCCAGCGACTCCCAGTCTCCCTTCACTACACGAGGCGATTCGGAGGCGGGGGTAGGGGGGAGGTGGGGGTACAGTCGAAACCAGTGGTAAGGATCAACCTTCCCGAGGGTACCCTGGCAGCATTGCCTCTTTGGTCCTCCGTCAACATGTGCCTCCAAGGGGCTTGCACCCTTTTCGCGCATCTTTCTTATCAGTTTTGACTGTCGGGTGCAGACTTCGCCACGTGTTCTACGAATTTCGAACCCTACCCCCGCCGCCCATCGAGTTGCTTGTATTGTGTACTGGCCAGGGTGGGGTTCGGATTACGCCGACGGTTCTCCTTCTCCTCTTCCTCCTCTGCCTCCTCCTCCTCCTCCTCCTCCTCCTCCCCATCCTCCTCCTCTTCGGACTCGAGTGAGAGATGACAACATTACCATGTCTGCCAACAAGAATGCATGCCACTTGTGATGTGTTTGGGGAGGTGCGCCTCGGGCAGAGATGCGCCTCTGGCGAGGCAGTGGCTGTGGCACGTGTGGTGGAATCGACAGAGAGAATCTGTCGGAGGCCCGCGCGGACTCCTTGGATCGGCGCCTTCTCCCCTGCCTGGGCCTCCCGGGGCCTCCCGCTGCTCCTCCCCGAGGCTGGCTGGCTGCAGCCAGGCAGTGCTCGCTCCCCGAGGAGGAGACTCTCCTGGGGCCAGGGGCATTTCTGGCAACATCCGACTCCTCTCCTCCTCCTCCTCCTCCTCCTCCTCCTCCTCCTCCTCCTCCTCCTCCTCCTCCTCCTCCTCCTCCTCCCTCCTGCTCCCTCCTGCTCCCTGAGGGCCCCGCGTCGAAGCTGGGCTGGGCTCGAAGCGTGGCTGCAGCCAGGCAGTGCTCGCTCCCGGGGAGGGGGAGCAGTAGGAGCAGGAACCAGTGGCGACGCCAGTGCCTGCGACTTGCACTGCTCGAGGGGGAAAAGCCACCCCGACCCCGACAGTCGGCGTCTGCTAAACGGCCCTTTGGCCTTGACTGAGAAGCCCTGGCCTGTTCGAGTTCTCCCTTGGGTGCGTTTACTAGACGGCTTCGCCTGTCGGGGTGCTTATTCTTGGGGTGGATGTTCTGCCCTCTAGTGACTCTCGGCCCCTCAGGGCCTTCTCAGCTTTACTGGGGACCTGTGGGGCCACACCTCCACGAGTTTGCTCAGCCTAAGCTCCGCCAGTGGAGGCCAGCACGTTGGTACAGGGCCTGCCCAGCGCACGGAGCTACGGCGGCGAGGGAGGAGGGAGAGAGGGGAGAGGCAGGGCTGAACCTAAACTGTGTGTTTCGTGTTCGTTGTCCCTCGTTCTGTCTTCAGGCCACCTCTGCCGCAAAAAACGACATCGAAACGAAAACGGCCCACGACGTCGCCAAGACACCGTTGAGGCCCAGCCCTGGGGAGAGGGACGGAGGGAGGAGGGACAGTAGGCAGGGCGCGCGAGCCCCAGAGAGGAGCGCCGTCCTTCCTGTGCTGGAGCTGTGATGTTCCAGCCTACCTTAGCCAAGGGCAGAGAAAAAACGCCCCTACCCTGGTTTACGAGGCGCTGTGCGCTGAAACTCCTGTGGGCTGACAGGGTAAACCCTGCGTGATGTGCCGCGTCCTGGCGGTTCTAGGCTTTGGGGGGTCCCAAAAGGTTTACAGACCTTCAATTTAGCCTTGATAACCAGAAATAGTTTCGAGCACCAAACAAGTGCCGAAACTGGAGAGCTTTCACGCGTCGGGTCCTGGGAGACGCTCGTCCGACACTGTGTCGACACTCTTTCGGCACTTTTCCGGATGCTCGAACTTATTTCTGGGATTTGGTCCTTAAGTACGATGGGAGCAGCATGCTGCTGAAGGAGAACATGACAGCTGATCCCGGCTCTCCCTCGCTCGCTCGTTCGCCCGCTCCTCTGCCGCCTTGTCGTGCCCAGGGGCCAGTCGGAAAGGGCGGGCTGGGCGTTTCGCTCGATACCTCCTTTTTACCATTGATGACCCTGAAGCTCTAACGCTAAATCGGGCCTGTCCCTCTACAGGAGGAATATTCAAACATAGTCAAAACATAGTATGTGGACGATTGTTTGATAATGTTTGAGCCTTTTTGAGTTATTGTTTGGGTATGTCTTATTTGTCGTCCAAAGTCCGCCTGTAGGGGGACAGGCCCGACTTAACTCTAACATTGGCAACAGCTTCACAGATGGAGGGCGGGCGGTTTTCAACATGCGGGCTCGCCCTAGCGTCACGCACATTCGTCGATTAACACATCGCAAGGGCTTCGCGGATTGAGAGCGGGATGTGTTCAAGCTGTGGCTCTCGCATTTGCGCCCCGCACGTTCGTCTTGGGAATGTGCAACAGTTTCGCAGCTTGAGGGCGGGCCGTTTTCGAAGTGTGGTTCTCGCCCTAGCGCCACCTACAGTCGCCTTGAGAGCGTACTGCGAGCGTGCAAGTGTTTCACGGATTGAGGGCGGTTCTGTTTCAAAATGTGGTTCTCGTTTGAGCGCCGCGCACATTTGTCTTCGACATGTGCCAGAGGTACACGGATTCTCATTGTCACTGTACCACACATGGTGGTTTGGAGCGGTTCAGGATTGCCACGGCGCAGCCGTTACGTTGATTCGAGATGTTGGAGTCGCAGGAATGGTGTCTTGGCACGATTCAGGATCGCCAACACGCAACAGGCAAGTTGAGTCGTGGCGTTGTAGTCTCGAGAATGGTCTTTTGGTATGCTTCAGGATCTTCAAACGGTTGTCTCCCAACGGCTCACTTCCCTCAGTGGAAATGGTTCCGTGCAGGGGGCCATGAAGAGGGAGCTTGGAAGAAGGGTGTTTTTTTCCAACACAGTTGATGAGTCTTGGGTTTGCACTGGTCCTCCCTCCTCTTCCTCCGTGTCCTTTTTCGCGTGGAGCGGGCTCTGGGTGCAAATCCTGTAGCGTTCTTCTCCCGTCTGCTCCTGGTCCTCCTCGTCGCCCCTAGACGATTCGCGTGGGGTGGGCGGCCCTCAGTGCTCAGGTGGGTGCTGGGCACCAGGGCTGGACCTAAAGGCTGTGTTACTGAACTTCGACTGTGTTTTGTTGTTTGCGTTTTGGCAGGGAGGTACAGGACAACAGGTAGAACAAAACGAAACAGCATAACGAAAACAAAACGAAACATAACCATCCTGCTCTGCGTCATCCACCCATTTTTGCTCCTCTTCTTCTTGAGCCGTCTGCTGGTTCTCACAGCCCCCATCTCTGTCGTCTTCCCTCCTTCCATCAGAATGGTCGGGTCGACCTTTGGCTCAGCCTGGCGAGGTCTCACCGCGTTTTACCACAGCCCCCGCAGTCGCGCATGGGAGTGGGGTGGGGTGGGGTGGTCGCCGGGGGGGGGGTCCTCGGCAGCCTGCGAGGCTCGGAAGCGAAGAAGGAGGAGGAGCCCGCCGCAGGCGCCGTGCTTTTACCTAAGCACACCGCGCCACGATCCCGCCGCAGGCGCCGATGCTTGTCAGAGCGACGTGGCCGGGCCGCCCGGACCGTCGGCGGGCGAGTCGCGCGGCGCGGCGCGCGTCAGGGATGCGTCGCGGGTGGGTCGCGGGGCGGGTCGCGAGAGGCGGGCCGCGGGGGGCGGGCCGCGGGGCGCGCGCCCCTCGGGTGGCTCGCGGGGCGGGCCGCGGGGCGGGCCGCGGGGCGGGCCGCGGTGGCGGGCTGCGCGCGTGGGTCGCGCCCGGCGGGCTGTGGGTGTGCTGCGGGTGGTCGTGGGTGCGCCGCGGGGCGGGTCGGGGTTGGCTCGTTGGGCGGGCTGCGGGGTGGGTCGCGGGGCGGGACGGGCAGGAAGCAGGAGAATAACGTTGAGCGTGATCCCGCCCCGCGGAGCCGCTCTTCCGCCACGCTCGGCCCCTCACTCTGATATAACGGTGTGCTTGCTTCTTTTACTATGCGACGCCCTTCCTGCTGCGGTGCTGCTTCTTCGCAGCGGCGTAGCTTCCTACTCTTATTAGGTATTGCCGGCTGGTGGTCGGGCTGGTTGGCTGCGTGTATGTTGTTTGGGGGGGTTGCTTGGCTGGTTGGTTATTTGACCGTTTGATTGGTCGACTCGTTCGAAATTTTCCGCGCGCCAGAGGCAAGCATACCGAGAGGGTCTGGCAGATTGTCGAGGAGATGCGGTGCAGGCTTCCCGAGGGCCTTCTTGCTGCCTATGCGTGGAGAAGCCCTTCAACAATACAGTCGAGTTTGATGAGTAGGGCGACCCTGCCTCTACCTTCATATGGCAGTGTGCCCCTCGGAAGGGTCTTGTGTCCCCTCGCTTGTCGTCACCAATCCAACTCGCATATGACCAGCGACTGTGCTGGAGGAGGAGGAGGAGGAGGAGGAGGAGGAGGAGGAGGAGGAGGTGGACGAGAAGGACGAGGAGGAGGAGGAGGGGAAGGAGGAGGAGGAGGAGGAGGAGGGAGGGAGAAGGGGAAAGCCATTTGCTTCTGGCGCCTCGACTCAGGAGGTCCGGGTGGTCGGGCTCGCTCTTCTCTTTGCTGCCCCCTGTGGGGCACCTTCCAGCTTCGGCTTAGTCGGGCCTGTCCGTCTACGGGAGGAATATTTAGAACTATGCAAACAAATAGTCGGGGGACTTTTTTCTAAGTTTTTGTAAACCATTTTTGACTATTTGTGGCCGTCTTTTCTCGTTCAAAATCCCCCTGTAGGAGGACACGCCCGACCTAATGCTTGGGGCCGTGCGCACCCCTCCTCTTCACCAGCTCGCCCACGCCGCGGCCTCGGGTGGCAGGCAGGTGCCTGGGGGGACGCGCGGTACGCGGGGAGTGGGCGAGGACGAGGCGAAGGCCACCTTGGCCTTCGCCTCGTCCTCGCTGCCACCCCCCTTGGAAGGGGGGCGGGAGCACTTGTAGCATTTGCTGCGTTTCCAGCAGATCTTCCAGGACTGCTCCTGGTCCCGGGTCCAGGCCAGTATGGCGTTCTCTTCCTCGTTCCTCCTCCCCCGTTCTCGATCCTCGGTCCTTTCCCCTCGTGGGTTCGTCCTCCTCCGCCTCCTCCCCTCCTCCTCCTCCCCCCTTTTATCTTCTTACGCCCGGTGTAGCCGATGCCAGGGGAATCAATGGCCCCCCAGCGCGTGCCCTGCAGGAACGCGCCTCCAGGCCCCAGGCACACGTAACAGTGAAGCTCCTGGGAGTTTGAGGCACCCAAACCTACGAGGAGGATCCTGGCCTCGCGCGGCGAGCAACGGTTGTAGTATCCAGTCCGCACGTCCGCTCCGTAAGAGATGGGTCGACATTCGCGCGGTGATGGTCCGACGTGAACCCGACGTGAATACATACATCCGACGTGGGTCCAACTCAGAGGCGAAAGAAGGACGTACACGTACATGAATCCACGCTGGTTTCGAGAGTTCGCATGGCGCGAATGTTCGTATCATGCGGCCGGTCTCGCGGGTCAAGGGGCCGTGTTCATGTACATAGCTGGGCGCGTACGTCCTTTGTGGGCTCCCTACCAACGTAAATTGGGCCTCGAGTTGCCGCGCGAGACCTCCCGGATGTTCCGCAACTGACTTTAGGGCACACTGTCGGAGGCGCGGATCTTCTCGGATCTGCACTGGAGCCCCGAGGCACCGCCACGTCTCCTGGCGAGCTGCAGATCTGCAGTGGAGACCCATGCCAAGAGACGCCCTGCTTGCCTCCGGGGTGCCCTGGGCCTCTGGGGTTTCGATGGCTCTGCTGCGGAGAGCGTCCCGGTCCCGCACCAGTAATCACCAGACGTCTTAGGGGTCCCAGGGTTGGGTTACCTGTGGAAGCTTTGTTGTGGTCGAGCTCCTGCTGTTCACTTTCGGAGGCCCGTGCGGATTTTCTTGGATCTGCGCTGGAGCCCCGAAGCGCTGGGGAGGGAGGAGGGGAAGGGAGGGGAGGGAGGAGGGGAACGAGGGAGTAGGGGGAGGGAGGAGGGGAGGAGGGAGGGAGGAGGGGGAGAGGAGGGGAGGGGAGAAGGGGGGAGGGAGGGGAGGGAGGGGAGGGAGGGGAGGGGAGGAGATCTATGACCTCTCCCTGGCGTGCTTGGCGTCTCGGGCTCCGACGCTCTCCTGGGCAGTGGTGGGCTGCTCTCCGTGGATCGCCGCCCAGGGCGTTAGATCGCGGAGTTCGCTTCCAACCTGTGGCTGTCGGCGGACTCCAGCGAATCCCCCCCCCAATGCTCTTCCTTTCCCTCCCTCTCCTCCTCCCCGTCTCCCCCTCCTCGTCGTCCTCCTCCTCCTCCTCCTCCTCCTCCTCCTCCCGTCCTCTTCTCCCTCCCCCCACCTCTCCCTCTCCTTCGATCCGTCCTCCTGCTCATCCTTCGGTTCGTCCTCCTGCTCACCCGCCACCTCCCCCCCTCCTCCACCTCCTCCAGTGTACACAGCTCCCCTCTTCTGCTCTCGCACGACACGATGGATCATTCGGGGGTGGCGGGGTCTAGGTCCGCCATGACACCGTTGAGCGGGAGGGAGGGGTAGCATGACAGATGTGGCGCGAGCGCACCTAGCCCCCCCCCCCCCTCTCCTGCATCCCAATGAAAAAGGGATGGACGGGAGGGGCAGGATGGGATGCCAGACGCGGTGCCAGCGTGCCCCGCTTGTCCCCCTCCCCTCTCCGATCCCCTCTTCTCCCCCCCCCCCTCCCCGCGTCGTGCTTCTCGTCCCCCTCCCCTCTCCACCCCCCAACCCTCTCCTAGTTATCCTCCTCTGCCCCCCCCTCGCTGCAGCCCAAACTCGCCGCCCCCGCGAGGCGGCTAGCGCTCGACGCCGTGGCCTACAACAAGACGATCAGCGTGTGTGCCAAGGGCGCGAACCCGCGGAGGGCCCTGGGCCTGCTCGGCGAGATGCGGGCCCAGGAGCGAGGAGGAGGAGGAGGAGGAGGAGGAGGAGGAGGAGGAGGAGGAGGAGGAGGAGGAGGAGTAGGAGGAGGGAGGAGGAGGAGGAGGGAGGAGGAGGGAGGAGGACGAGGAGGAGGACAAGGAGGAGGGAGGAGGAGGGAGGAGGACGAGGAGGAGGGAGGAGGAGGAGGACGAGGAGGAGGAAGAGGAGGAGGATTTTTTTGACATGAACCGTCCCCTGGAGAGTGCCAGGACATATCGGAGCCATCTTTGTGGCACCGCTGAAAGACCTGGGTGGTGGCTGACGCGAGAACGACCACCCCCAGGAGCCAAAAACACAAACAGACCGAGACCGAGGGAACGCCAGACCAGTCACGGGCAGCTTGCAAACGCGGAGCCTCGCCGACCTGCTGGGCTCCTCTCTGCCCAAATTAGGCAGAGATACAAAAGGCACCTGCAGGCAACCCTGCAGATGTAAAAGCAGCACAGACCACCCGCTCGCCACTGTGCACACGAGCGGGCGGCACTAGCATCCAGTGTGCTGACGCTGCCGAGAAGTGTTGGGGCCAGGAGCTCGAAGCGGCCTGGCCTCAGCAACACCACGCCACGAGCCACGGTCAGGGCAGACCAAAGCCCACCCCCGTGCTCGGAGAAAGAACTGTGCCCACACACACAAGTGTGCCTCGCGCCTTCCCCCTGAGGCGGGGTGCCTGACACGCGTGCTGAGCGGAAACGTGCGCGCACACGAGACGACCGCACGCTGTGCACCACAGTCGCAGCCAGTGTGTTGCAGCTGCCGAGAAGTGTTGGGGCCAGGAGCTCGAAGCTGCCTGGTCTCAGCAACACCACGCCACGAGCCACGGTCAGGGCAGACCAAAGCCCACCCCCGTGCTCGGAGAAAGAACTGTGCCCAAACACGGGTGTGCCAGGAAGAGGAGGAGGAGAAGGAGGAGGAGGAGGAGGAGGAGGAAGAGGACAACGGGCCCTGGGCCTGCTCGACGAGGGAGGCGATGTCAGACGCGTCGTTGACATGTTCCCACAGTGGAGACCCATGCCGAGAAGCACCCTGCTCGCCTCCAGGGTGCCCTGGGTTTCTTGGTTTCCGACGGTCTCAGCCTTGACCACGAGAAGGAGTTTCGAGCACCAGAGAAGTACCGAAATCGATGTTTTTCACGTGCCGGGCCCCGGGAAGCACTCGCCCGACTTTGGTTCGACACCCTTTCGGCATTCTCCCGGGTGCTCGAGATCATGTTTTGGATGTGGTCCTTAAGTACGATGGGGGGCAACATAAGCCCAGGAGCGAGGGAGGGAGGCGATGTCAGACGCGTCCTTGATGTGTGCCCACAGTGGAGACCCATGCCAAGAAGCACCCTGCTCGCCTCCAGTGTGTGCCCTGGGTCTCTTTGGTTTCGATGGTTCTGCGATGGAAAGCGTGACGTGCCCACACCAAGCATCATTGGACGCCCTGGGGTCTCAGGGTTGGGTTTCTCGCAGAGGGTTTCTTTTGGTCGGGCCCCTGCTGTACCGCCACCACTGTACGCAGCGTTGGTGCCGCCCAGAGAGCGTCCACTGTCTCTGGCCCTGCGCCTGCGGCTGGCGCGGTGAGCTCGGGCGGCATCGGTGCGGAGCTGGACGAGCACATCGGGCGTCACCGCCTGCCCGGAGGGGAATTCGGAACTCGGCGGGCCCTCTCATGTACCCCCCCAAGGAGGGGCCAGGAGGGACTGCGGTGCACACATGTAGGTGTGCGTGCGTGTGCGAGTGCCGGCCGCGCGCGCCCGTTCAGTGCTGCTCGCTCGACTTTCTCCGCCTCGTCCCTGCGCGCGTCCCGTGGTGTGTGCTTGTGTGTATGGCCCTGTGTGTTTGTGCGTCTGTGTGCGTGTGTGTTTGCATGCTTGTGTTTGTGGGTGTGTGTTTGCTTGTGTGTGTGATTGTTTGTGTGTCTTTGTGTATTTGCGTTTACGTGTGTTTCAATGTGTGTGTGTGTTCGTGTACTGTGCGCGTTTGTGTGTTGTGCGTGGTTGTGTGTTGTGTGTGTGTGCTTGTGTGGGTGCTTGTGTGTGTGCTTGCATGTGTGGTTGTCTGTGTGGTTGTGTGTTTGTGTGTGTGTGTTTGTGTGTGGTGGTGTTTGTTTGTGTGTGTGTTTGTGCGTGTGTGTGTGTTTAAATGTGCTTGTGTTTGTGTGTTGTGCGTGTTTGTGTGTGTGTGTGTGTTGTGTGTGTGTGTTTGTGCGTGTCTGTGTTTTTGTGTGTGTGCTTGTATGTGATTGTCTGTGTTTGTGTGTGTGTGTTCGTATGTGTGTTGATGTGCTTGCTTGTGTGTGTGTTTGTGCGTTTGTGTTTGTGTGTGCATGTGTGTTTGTGCATGTGTGTTTGTGCATGTGTCTGAATGTGCGTGTGTCTGTTTGTTCGGCGTATCTGTGTGTGTTGTGTGTGTGTGTTTCAGTGTGTGTGTGTATGTGCGTTTGTGTGTGAGTGTGTTTGTGTGTGGTGATTTTTGTTTGTGTGTGTTTGTGTGTGCGCGTTTGTGTGTGTGTGGGCTTGTGTGTGCTTGTATGCGTTGCGTGTTTCTGTCTGTTTGTGTGTGTGCTTGTGAGTGTGTTGTGCGTGCTTGTGTGTGTGTGTTTGCGTGTTTTGGTGTGTTTGTGTCTGCTGGGGTATGTTTGTGTGCGCGTGTTTGTGTGTGTGTGCGGGTTTGTGTGTGTGTGTGTCGGTGTGTGTGTGTGTGTGTTTGTGTGTGTGTGTTTGTGTTTGTGTTTGTGTGTGCTTGTGTGTGTGGTTGTTCGTGTGTGTTTGTGTGTGTGTGTGTGTGTGTTTGTGTGTGTTTGTGTGTGTGTGTTTGTGTGCGCGCGTGCTTCCGTGCGTCCATATGTGCGTGTGTGGTTGTGCTTGTGTGTGCGTGCGTGCGTGCGTGCGTGCGCGCGTGCGTGAGTGCGCGCGTGCGTGCGTGCGCGCGTGCGTGCGTGCGTGCGTGCGCGCGTGCTCGCGTGTGTGTGTGTGTGTTTGTCTGCTTTCGTGCCTCCGCAGGCTTGCTGCCACATGCCTTGGCAATGGGAACGCACGACGGCGTCGGAGTCCGCGAGAAGGCCTCGACCATAATTCGGCACGCGCCTTGGCCCCGAGCCTCTAAAGTGGAGGAGGGAGACTACGACGACGACGAAGGGGTCTTCCTCCACCCCTGCTCATCCTGCTTGCTTCCTTTTTTCCTATTATTCCTCCACCTGGACGACAGGTGCTCCTGGACCGAGCTCGGGGGCGGCAAAGAGGGGGGTGATGACTAGGGGGGGTGGATCTCATGGCGTGGGCCATGACAGTCCCTCAGATTTCTTGGCGCGCCTCTTCTTGTTCCATCGCGTCCCTGGCCCCCCCCCCCCCCCTTAGGCCGCGCACATGCCGCCGGCCCCCCTCTCTTGGACGCCCCCCTCGTGGACGCCTCCGCCTGAAGGCCAGGCGGGCGGTGAGCGCCGAGGGCCCCGAGGCCGATGGCTGCTCTCGGGGGGCGGGGGGCCCTGCCGGCTGGACCCGCCCAGAGGCGGGGCGCAGCCTCGGGCGGGGACGAAGAGTTCTCATCGGATGGGCCCCCCGCGCCAATTGCCCTCCTCGTCCTCCTCCTGCTGCTCCTCCTCCTTCCTCCTCTTCCTCCTCCCTCCTCCCTCCTCCTCCCTCCTCCTCCTCCTCCTCCTCCTCCTCCTCCTCCTCCCTCCTCCTCCTCCCTCCTCCTCCTTCTCCTCCTCCTCCTCCCCTCCCTCCTCCTCCTCCTCGTCCTCCTCCTCCTCCTCCCCTTCCTCCTCCTCCCTCCTCGTCCTCCCCCTCCTCCTCCTCGCTCCCCCGTTGACGCTTCCATCTGTGGCGGTGAGCCTCCTCGTCGTCCTCGCCATGTGATCGGGGCGCCGAAGAAGGAACCCTTGTAGTCGGGGAGGGGTTCAGCGCTTCCTGGTTGTGTCCTAGTTTGTCTTAGGTTCTCCTTAGGTTTTCGATGGGGAATCGAAGTTTAACTGATGGAGCAAGGGGCCTCGTTCCTTATGTGTCGTTCCTTAGGTCAACTCCCCGACGGTACCCTCACTCGAACCGAGAGATCCGCGCGGACCTCCGAGTTCTTACGTTTATGCCATTTTCGTTCCCCTAGAAACATCATCCAGCGCCGCCGGAGATCAGAGATTCTCGATGTACAGTCGGGGCGTTGACCTAAGAAACCCCCAATAAGAAACGAGGCCCCCTCGTCCATAAGTTGACTTCGATTTCCCATCGAAAACCTAAGGCCAACGCTCCGACTGTACTCCTGCGCCAAGGGTCGCAGCCCGCTCCCAAGGGATGAGCACAGCAAAACCCGCTGCGGCAGGAGCTGGCGCCCACCGTCGTCACGTACGGGGCCGCGCTGAGCGCCTGCGAGAGAGGGAGGCGCCCTGGATCCTCCTCATCCCCCTCCCTCCTCCCTCCTCCCTCCTCCTCCTCCCTCCCCCCCTCCTCCCTCCTCCTCCCTCCCTCCCTCCTCCCTCCTCCTCCCTCCCTCCCTCCCTCCCTCCCCCTCCCTCCCTCCTCCCTCCCCCTCCTCCTCGTCTTCTCCTCCCCCTCCTCCTCCTCTCCTCCTCCTCCTCGCTCCTCCTTATCATCATCATCATCATCATCATCATCATCATCATCATCATCATCATCATCATCATCATCATCATCATCATCATCATCATCATCATCATCATCATCATCCTCATCCTCATCCTCATCCTCATCCTCATCCTCATCCTCATCCTCATCCTCATCCTACTCCTCATTATCCTCCCTCCTTTCCTCTCTCCCCCTCCTCCTCCTCCTCCTCCTTCTTCTCATCCTCCTCCTTCTTTCTCCTCCTCCGCCCTCTTCCTGCATCTTCCTCCCTCCTCCTCCTCCCCCTCCTGTCCATCCTCCTCCGACCTGTCGGCGGCGAGCCCAGGGGGGAAGTGAGAAGTGAGAAGGCTTGGAAGCCCCTCCCCCGGCCTTCTGAAAAATTATCTAAACTCTCCCCGAAGACACAAAACTTATTGGAAGGCGCGACGGCTTCTGAGAAGTCCCGCCGCCTTTCGAGAAGGCCTTCTCCGTCTCATTGCCCCCCCTTGCTCGCCGCCAATCCGCCCTACTCATGCGCCTCTCAGCTTACCAGGCGTTCCGGACCCAACACCCTGGACACACCTCCGGGCCTTCCTGGCTGTGAAGGCGGGAACGAGTGAAGCCCCAACGGAGCGTCGTTCCTTTCGCTCCTCCGGCGCATCCTCCCCCATCCTCCTCGCCTCAGCTCCGCCGGAGGCCCGCAGCCTGCGTCGGCCCTCACTGCGCAGCCTCCTCTCTCCCTCGTCCTCGTCCTCCTCGTCCTCGTCCTTGTCCTCCTCCTCGTCCTCGTCCTCCTTGTCCTCGTCCTCCTCCTCGTCCTCCTCCTCCTCGTCGTCCTCCTCGTCCTGCCTAGTCCTCCTCCTCCTCCTCCTCCTCCTCCTCCTCCTCGTCCTCCTCGTCCGTGCCTGTCCTCGTCCTCCTCGTCCCCCTTGTCCTCCTCCTCGTCCTCCTCCTCCTCCTCGTCCTCGTCGTCCTCTTCCCGGAGGGCGGCGGCGCGGCGGACGCGCCTGCCCGTGTGCGATCCTCGGAGCCACGCTGCGATTGCAGCCAACCCGTACCGTGAGGACAGGCGGGGAGGATGCAAGGGTCTTCGAGGGCCCTGGCATCCTCACCGCCAGCGAAAGTCTCGCCAAGGATGGGCCGAAAGGGCAAGGGCACAAGTCGAGAGAGGATATGCCACCCGGACCAGACGATTGGCGTTTACTGACGGCCTTGGCGTTTACTAAACAGCCCTGCCCTGTTTGATTCCTTCTTTGGGTGTGTTTACTAAACGGCTTCGCGTGTTGGGGTTGTTATCATCGGGATGGATTTTCTGCCCTCTAACAAGGGTACCCTTGGGCAGGTTGCCCATCCTTGCCATGCGGGTTGACTGTACAGGTGTTTCTGCCAGCTGCCGCATGGTGGCCAGGAGGAGACGCTCGCTGTCCGTTTCGGGAGCACTTCGCCTTTAGGCCGCGTCTACTGGACACGCTATCGACTCTCAGAGGCTGCAAAAAGTTGATTCCTTGTTGTAGTCAGAGTGTGTGTGTGTGGCCGGGGAACGCAGAACCGTAGCCTGGCAACGGACCCAACCATGTGTAGGTGTGAGCGCCGTACGGCAAGGGACGGCGTGGGGGAGATCGTTTGGGACCGCGGAACGTGTGAAGGGTGTGCCACAATTGGCCTGGGGACGGTGGTTCCTCTCCCCAATGAGGCCACAAAAAGTGCGAAGGATGTGCCGAAACGGGCGTGACGCCCACATGTGGACGGTGCAATTGGGGCCTTCGGTGGAGCCCCCAGATGAGGCCACGGAGCGTGTGAGGGTGTGTACCGAAACGGGTGTGACGTCCACATGTGGACGGTACCTTTAGGGCTTTCGATGGAGCCCCCAGATGGGGCCACGAAACGTGTGAGGGCGTGTGCCGAAACGGGAGTGACGAGCACATTTGGAGTGCCTCTTAGCCCTTAGGTGGACCTCCCCATGTGGCCACGAAACGTGTGAGGGGTGTGCCAAAACAGATGCGACGCCCACATTTGGACGGTGCCCCTGGGGCCTTCGATGGAGCCCCCTTTATGGGACCACGACGCTTGTGAGGGGTGTGCCGAAACTTGAATGCAGACGGCCGAGGCAGGGATGGAAGGAGGGATGGGAGGAGGGGGAGGAGGAGAGGAGGAGGAGGTGGAGGAGGGAGGAGGAGGACGCGGGCCGCTGTCTCGTCACAACGAAGACTAAACTCCACAGGGAGGCTGATAACAACGACTGGGGGCACGGAGTAAGTTTCACGCAAACTGCAGGGCCGGCGCGCGGTATGTGGGCTCGCCTGACTCTCCAAATGCATGACTAATCCTATGTGTAGGCCACTTTAGATTCTCGCGCTCTGGGTGACCAATCTGGGTGCCTCTAAGTCTTCTTGCTTGTGCGGAGCGCTCATGCTGTTGGCTGAATGGGCGGGTCGCAGCAGAGGCTGACCTGCATGGCCCGTGCCATGACCCCCATTGCTGTCACCTCCTGACCAAGGCTCAATGGCACCAGAGCTGGATTTACCGAAGACACCCACGGCGATCCACGACCGCCCCTGCATCTTGGAAGCGCCTATTTGGCCCAACGTTGGGCCGAGGTCATTCGCCAAGCCATAGGGTTACGTGTTCCCCCAGCCGCCGTGGAAGCCCTTGAGGAAAACCTTGTGAGAGGAAACGGCAGAAGGATCGGGGGGAGGCGGGAGGACCAGTGTAAACCGAAGACGCGTCAACGACGTTGCAAGACACCTTCCATCACAGTTCCCTCTACAGGTCCCTTTCAGACTGTATTTACATTGCGGGAATTTGCCCATGAAAGGCCAACCGCTTGATAATTCTCAACCTTGCCAAAACACACTTCTGGGGACTTCAGCGCCACGGACTAACGAGACTGCTGCGTCTTGACACTCCTAAATCTTGCCAGCGCGATATTCCCCAGATTTGAAAGAGCGTGTTCTACCGCTGCTGCCGGAAAACCGGGGGGGGGGTCACTACCGGGTCGAACCCCTCCCCCCCCCTCCGGAAAACCGGGGGGGGTCACTACCGGTTCGAACCCCTCCCCCCCCCCAGTCCATCATGAAAAGGGGGGGGTGGGTCACTATCGGTTCGAACACCCCCCCCCCTCGAAAACCGGGGGGGGTCACTACCGGTTCGAACCCCCCCCCCAGTCCATCATGAAAAGGGGGGGGGGTCACTACCGGTTGAACCCCCCCCCCCCGGAAACCGGGAGGGGGTGCGGACAGTGGTGGGGACGGTGGTGGTGGGGACAGTGGTGAGGGGACAGCGGGACAGTGGTGGGGACAGTGGGACAGTGGTGGGGACGGTAGTGGTGGGGACAGTGGTGAGGACAATGGTGGGAACAGTGGGGACAGTGGGACAGTGGTGGGACGGTGGTGGTGGGGACAGTTGTGTGGGGACAGTGGGAATCTGGTGGAAAGAGTGGGACAGTGGAGGGTACAGTGGTGGTGGGGACAGTGGTGAAGGCGGTGGCGAGATCGGCGGTGGGACAATGGGACAGAGGTACAGTGGGGACAGTGTTGGGGACAGTGGGGACAGTGGTGGGAACAGTGGGACAGCTCAGTGGGACAGCGGAGGAGTCAGTGGGACAGTGGGGACTGGGGATAGTTGGGCAGTGGTTGGGGCCGTGGAGAAAGTGGGGAGAGTGGAACCGTGGTGGGAACAGTGGTGGGGACAGTGGGGACAGTGCGACAGTGGTGGGGGCACTGGTGGGGACAGTAGGGACGGTGGTGGAACCAGTGGGGACAGTGGTGGTGAGGACAGTGGTGCTGGGAACAACAGTGGGGGATGTGGTGCGGACGGTGGTAGGGACCGGGAGTCGTTTGCTGGCGGTGAGTGGGGGGGTGGGGAGGGGTTCGAACCGGTAGTGACCCCCCTCCGGTTTTCGAGGGGGGGGGGGGTTCGAACCGGTAGTGACCCCCCCCGGTTTTCGAGGGGGAGAGGGGGGGGGGGGAGGGGTTAGGGGAGGGGGGGGGGGGCAGGGAAGGGGGGGGGGGGGGGGAGGGGTCCAGCAGGGGGGGGGATTTCCGTAGGGGGGGAACCCCGGGTTCCGGAGGAAGAGAGGGGGGAAAATTTTCCACAGTAAAGCAGCGGTGGATCATTCCCAGATTTCAACACCGCGAGTCGACACGGTTGTTGCATCCTGACATCACCGAGCGCGTTCCACTACTTGCAAAGTGCCTACTCGCAGATGTCTGAGAAAACACATAGGTGTTTTGATGCCATTTATCGTTGATCGCCCGCGGGGGATCCAGGCCATTTGCGAGTAGTGACTTTGCGAGTAGCAGAACGCGCGCGCTTGCCTATGACAGCCCTGAGTCGCGTCAGAACAAGATTCTTAGGATTTCGGCCGTTCGAAGCTTTCAAGCCGTTGCTAATGTTTTAGACGAGTGTGCGCGGCGCCTCGGCGGGAACCACGGTTTGAAAAAAAAACGCGTTTCATATTTGAAACTGTTACAAACTTGCAAAAGTGCGCGGCGCTAAGGCGAGAGCTACATTCTGAAGACCACCCGCCCACTATCCGTGAAATTGTTGCAAAGTCTTCACGCTTCGCGTATCACCACTAGCCCATTCAGGTCACCATTCCCATGAGAACTGACGGGAAATTAGCCTGACGAAGGACCCGACCATATGCAGGTGTGAGTACCGCAATTGTGATTCCTTTTTCGGTGGTGATCCCTATGAGGCAACGAACCGTGCTAGGGGTGTGCCGACATGAGTGGCGTGGTACACGACGCGAACGAAAACGATTGATCTGAGTACGTAGGGAGACTGAGCGCGGGTGAATATGAGCGCGAGTGCGT